GCTGAAAGTAGCCATCAGCTGCTGGAGGTCACACGCTGCCACGCGAAGTGAGCTTGGAGAGAAAGTGCCGGGACTCTGCGCTGCATTGTTCAGGAATTCACACTGAGGAGAAGAGAAAACACATAGCACTCATTGCTACCATGACGTCAAGCCAAATCTACAGGTAGCCTGTGCATGATAATATTTAGAAAATGATTACTGATCTGAAGAACATTAAGCAAAATAGCTCTGAGTGTGACAAATATATAATATAATAATTCATCTGCTAGTAATTTAGCATGAACTCCCTGTTTCTGTCACTTCCTATGACCACACGCCCTTTGGTGAGAACTAAGCCCAGTAAAAGTTTGTGTTGGCACCAGTCCAAACAATACAAAAACAGTTTACTTTCTTTACTTCCCCAAAGAACAAAGGACAGTACAACATGTGTGGCCGAGACAGCCAGTATTAGTTAATGATGTTACTGAGTAAGTGACATGTGAGCCGATTGTGTCTGTAGATTGAAGTCAATCAGTAAAGAGTCTTAGTGATGGTGTAAATAATGTCACTACCATAAAACACCTGCTATTAGAATGGAGTTTGGTTTGACAGAGGGTATTATAACCTTAATAAAAAATTAAAAAAACTTTGGAATCTTAAAATCGAAATTTTAAACTACAGATAAGATAAGGCTGCTTAGGACTCTGTATAACAAGCCCAGATCCACTCACGTCACTCATCTACACAAAACGTGTAGAATCCTTTTTCCACAGTATACTAAATAAGAAGAAGGGGTCTCAGTGGTAAGACATTAGGATGTGGTGGTTTTGCCCATCACTAAAGATATGGTGTCTTTTGTAGAGATTTTCTTTTCACCCAAAAGGGGGCAGGGGCATGACGCAAGGTGCCATCACTAACCACACAAACACCATACCTCTGATTGTAGCTGCTGCAGGGCAGACTGTGTCTGCTGCAGAAGGGTGGCCACATCGGCTGCCTCCTGTCTACTCGGCTTAGAGGACGACTTGCTGCCCTTTCGTAAAGCCCTGTGAGTCAGGGAAAAGCAGCAGGGGAGGTCAGAGATGAGACTAATATCAAGATCCCGATGAAACAACAGGAACCGATGAAGATCCACCAAACTTCTACAAATCACACTCTTTTTGGAAGTCCAGTTAAAAGACAGAATGCTAATATGCAGACATAAGGGCGGGATATAGTATGTGTACAAAGGAAACAGCATGCTTACTTGATGTGTGCAGGCCAGGGGTCGAGCGCAGGGTTGAGCATTTGTGTGAGATGAGGCAGGTTCTCAGCAGCATAGAGCTCGTTTAGTAGCATCTCTGCATCCATTCTGGGCCCAGCAGTCTTCTTGCAGCCTGGAACTAGAGTTAAAAGCTGCTCTAGGAACTGAAGCTGCCTTTGAGGACTTGCACCACCCTGGGAAATTGGACAAAACGGGACATTTTTAGTTTATTGTTACAATGCGTGTCTTTATCTTTGAATCAATTAGATCGACACAAGTTTTAATCAACCTTTCCGATCAGGTCCAGGTCATCTGCTTTGCACAGCATCAGCTCCTGCCCAAGCACAGCTATTTCTGTTTGTAGAAAACAGACCACAGCAGTATAATAGGTTATTTTAGTCTGAAGGATACAGAACTATAAGTATAAACTACTCTGCATATGTGCACTCTCACTGAGATGTTTATGCTTTCATCCACAAGGTACTTTGAAAGACAACAATGTTACCTTTGCACAAAACCTCTGGGTCTTTGGATCTCACTGACATCGCCTTGGAATTGCCAAAGTTTGGGTTGATACTGTGTGACAAGGCAGAGGGATTAATACAAATTAGTTTTGATAGATGAGAGCAGGGCTGATGTTCTATGTATTTTACCTGCTGCAGATCCAGGCCAGTATGTTGGTGCGGTGCTCAGAGGGAACACACAGAAGCTGCAGCATGCTGTCTGCCTCCTGTAGGTCCACACCTTCCACCAAGGGACAAGACACAGCCTCAACAAAGACAAAACAGAGACAATGTTACCATAGGAATTTTTCATACACCGGTATATGGCTGAAACAACTGAAGCAATATTGTTTCTGCCGTGAACAGACCAGATGTGTAGCATGTATTGAGAGGGGAGCCCTATTTACAGTGTAACAGTTATAACTTTCTAATGTCATTTTATAGTGTTTATATTATACTACGGTATACTACTAACTATTTTAAAATATTTTGTTTTGAGTGTTAAAGTTCTTATTTTACTAAATTACAGTTTGCACAATAATCATTGTTTACATTCAGATTCCTTCATATTATGTATCATTTTGTTGGACCAAGATAACCCTAAAGTAATGGAAGCCTTCACTGTATACACGATGGAAAATACTGTGATGTACCATGAAACAGCCAGAATCTTATAAAGTACAGTGATACAAATTTTAGGTTCCCCAACACAAATACAGAGTAACCTAGTAATAAGCCCTGCTTTATCCATGTCACATACTGAGACTCTTTAAGGGTTTGGTTAAGGTAGACTGCTGAGTGTTTTAGTTGTAAAAAAAGTAACCTTTGCAAAAGTGTAACAGAGTGATACAAAAACGTTTACATGACAATATAGTTGTTCTGAATTGCAGGCATCATAAAGCCAAACAGTAGCTTATCTCTATAAAGTGGTGCAAACAGCTATATGTGGAGAAAGCTCCAACTCCAAAACAAGTTGTCCTTGAAAAGAGAAATGTCTTTTCTTATTTTTGTAAATAATGTTTGGTTATTAGCTTTAATCTGTGTTGTGAACTCACCCCTGTGGGTTCTGTAGGGAATGCTGTGTCTACGACTCACGTACGTTAGAAACCGAGAGCTGAACTAACCGATAGTGACCAAGAGAAAAAAATAACCTTCCGAAAAGTGCGTATTTCTAATCTTATTTCGAATTATTTTAACTTCTTTTACCTGCAGTGTAGCATAAACATGTCGTACTAGTTGTTCTTGTTTCAAAGCACCCGCCATTTTACGAACAACTCTGTTCTGCTACCGCTGCTCTGGCGAAGGCTTCTTCTTCTGCTGCTCAAATATGCGCCACACTAGACGCCACAACGGTGAATTGATGCCCTCTACAGGTCACCTGCAGAAACTCTTAAAAACAGCTATTTAACTGTGTAGGACGTCTGTATGTATATTAATATTTTATAGAGAAATCTGGCATTCATGTCTCACAAAATGAGCCTACACTGTAATGAATACATCTGGCATTATATCTTTATCACGCTGCAGCTCCAGTATCTATGGTTACTTTAAATAATTAAAAAGATTTCTGTTGATGGCAATTCCATCTTCAACAAAAAAAAAATAACAACACCTTAATCAGGAACTCACCCATCCTAAGAACAATAGTGCATGTTCAATATAAATGGACAGACCTGGCTTATGATGGTAGAACACTGAATGCTGTATTTACTCTCCTCTAAAAATACTGTATGTGTTGCCTAACAAAATCAAAGGACTATTGTTTAAAATTATACATAGCCTAGATATTATACTATAAACATATGTACCATAAACTGTCAATGGAAATATATTCCCAATATAGATGACAAAGGCTCTTCCTGTAATGATGTAGCTGAAACATTCTAACACTTGTTGGTGGTTTTTACTTAAAGGTATTAATATTAACCAATTCTAAATTATCCAGCAAAGAAAAATATATCATTAATATGTTCATTATTGGAGCTAAATTCTACATTCATATATCATATTTTTGAAGAAGATACCATCCATCCATATTACTTTAAAACAAACGGGTCTGAACAGGTATTTGCTCATTCTTTCACATTAGAAAAATTAACCAAAACTATCACCTTATATAAACTCTTTGACTCTCTGCTTAGTTAGATTTACCTCTTGTTTGTTTGTTTATTTTGTGTTTTATGCATTTCCTTTTTTTCTCATTTGTTTGTGTTTTTCAATAAAGTTTAAAAAAGAAAGAACTGCTTGCTTCTACTTCTCCAACTTTGAAGTGAGCATCATTAACGTTGCATTACTGCCCCCTTCTGGATTTATTCCCCAATGTCCGTTTCTTTTAAGTCGTGTAACGTTAATTAGTTGCCCCCAAAAGGCCTCATTAAGTTCTTTCAGAAACTAATTTAAAACATATGTTGTTCTCTACAGATATGACTGAATCTGGCATCATTTCTGGTGCTCTGACCAAGATGAAAGTTTTTGCCATCTAATTGGCTCTGCTGTAAAATGTGTATAAATATGCAAAATGCAATGTGAAAATATGGATCTGCTGTGCCTTGATGTGCCTCTAAAGATGCCATGCCTTGTAGTTGTAGTTATTCCAAATCCAACTCTGTCCTCACACTCAAATAGCATACTTCTTCATGTTGTTGTTTTCTTTTTGTTTTCTATTTTGCAAAATACACATTTAAGCATTGTAACTTCCTAGAAAAGTGCAGTTGAGACTGAGCGAGAAGAGCAATCCAGATGACAAACTTCAAATACAAGAGGAACATCTTAAAGGGAAGAGAGCCACGACATACGAAAAAAAAAAAGAATAATAAAATAAATGATCATATCAAATAAAAGGTGCAATACATTCATGTCACCTTCTGTCTGGGGTCCACTCAAATGACAACACTGACAAATACCAGTATTCATTTCATAGATCTAATCCATTCACATCCATTTAATCCAGTGGTTACCAACCTCGGAGTCGGGAATCCCACTTGGGGTCGCCAAAGCTTCACTCTGAGGCCTTCTTGAGTCCAACACATTGGTCAGTTCATCAGCTGTTCTCCACTGTTACTGTAATACATTTAATATAGTACTATATGTCACTCATCAGGGTAGTCAGTTTAGTCAATGACAGAAAATAGGTCCCTCAGGGTCCAGGGAGAAAGGTTGCGAACCACTGCTCCAGTCCAGTAGGTGGCGGTAATGCACCGGTTTGCCAACTGCCTTCAAAACCCAGTAGAAGAAGAAGAAGAAGAAGAAGAAGAAGAAGAAGAAAACATGTAATTTCCGGGATACGATACAATCGTTAGCTAGCTGCCAACGGTCTGCGGCGGTTTGTTCTTTGTAGCTGTTTCTGTGACAGTGGCTGGTCAGAGAACGGCAGTTTGTCGGCGTATAACGGCCTTATGTGTATAAGACGTTAACGTGAGTCTACCGTTCGCCTCTCCCGCCATTAAAATGAAGAAAAAGAGCTCAGCCAAAAAACGCCATGTGGTGGCATGGGTCAACAAAGCTGAGTGGGATCAGGTTCTGGAGTACCTTTACTCGAACGACCCCGCCTTACAGAGGTACGCACTGCAGAGGGTATCAGCGTGGAAAGGCCGGTATGCCAGCAGCACCCCGGTGGCGGTGGAGTGCACGGCGGACCTGGTGAGGTGCCAGGTGCTGGACAGGTCCGGGCAGCTGGACGGGGATGATCTGGTTCTGCTTTACGGAGCGGCTCTGGTGAGGTTCGTCAATCTGATCACCGAGAGACAGCAGGGGAGGACAGCCCGGCCGCTCCGGAGGCTGGCTGGGAACCTGAACATCCCAGAGTGGGTTGTGGACCTGAGGCATGATTTCACACACCGGAAGCTGCCTACCTTGAAATGGTGTCGAAAAGGATGCAAGGTGGTTCTGGAGTGGCTCCAGCAGGAGTACTGGTCCAGGCAGTTGGGGGGAGCGCCTAACGAGGACTGGGAATCCCAGTCCGATGGGGAGGATGAAGAGGTTGACCTAAAACGACAAGAGGATGAGCTCATTGCGAGGCAGAAAGGAATGGAAGCCTATAAGAGTGCACGGGAGCTTCTGATATCCTTTGAGAAGGAGCAGTACCAGGCTTTTGACGGGCTTCTTGAAGAAAAAGACAGGAGCCCATGGCCGGCCCCCTTTGCAGACATGAGCTGGTTACTTGAGGAGATCAAACAGTTTGCGTTGGAGTCGAGTGAACTGCTGATTGATGTGTTGTTGGAAGATGGATTTCTGGTTCCTACTGTTGAGCAACTGGAAACATTAGGCTGTGACACTTATGACAACACCAGTTCCACTAAAACCAGACTCCCTCAGACCTTCCTGCGTTTTTGGCTGCCCCTCCTGAAGATGCTCAACTCACCGTCCTTCATTCACCTCCTCCTGGAGAAGCTGTTTGTTGAGCTGAAGCAGCTTACCACAGAGCCCAATAATCAACGGGCGTTCTACATTTCTGCCTGGATTTCAGAAGTCCTCTACTGTAACAGCAACAAATTTGAGTTCCATTTTGAAACAAAGGGGCAGAAGAAGGCCAGGATGAAGGACAGGATTTTTGTGAACCGCATCCAGCTGAGGTGGCAGCAGCTGCTTGCAGCATGCCTGGATGCTCCCTGCGCCAGCACGCCTCACTTGCTCCAGTTAATCCTGGATGACATGGAGCACCCTCTTCCTCTAGAGACCCGGCAGAGGCTGCTCCAGCTCTGCTCCATCTACACACAGACTGCGCGTGCAGAATTTGACACTTCTCCGCGGCAGAAACCGCAGCCCATATACACACTGGAGAGTTTGCACGAGAAGCTACAGCATTCACGGCGCCACAGCCATCCCTGGCGTTCCACTGCTGACCCGGAAAGGAGCGAGTCCTCCCAGGAGTACAATGGGGCAGATGCTGAGGCTGAAAAGGCAAAGTTGCTCAAAGGTTCTCCGTGGCAGGTGTGCGTTGATAAGGTTTTGTGGAAGAACTATCCTCTTGGTAAAGTCCCTGGACAGTCAGATGACCCTTCATGCCTCATGGTGGAAAACTACTCAACAATGACTGTGTTTGACCAGCCGGTGGAGATGGAAAACAACACATCACGCAACATCCCAGGAGCGTCTGCAGCAGTGAGGACAGCGGATGGCCTTTTGTGGAACCACAGTGATATTAACAGGCTGAAATCTGGACTGCAACTATTTTGAGTTATAAGTTATAGTGCTGTAAAATATAAGCCTTAAGCTGCTGGCACATTATTAGACTGGTGCTCTCTGTTGTTGTGACACTTGGAAAGAAGAAAAAGTGTAAACTAAATTTGTTGCACGATAAAACAAAAGCAGTGGATTAATCAATAAAAAAAATGGTGTCAAATTTCCCAGAGCCAAAAGTGATGTCTTTTTATTCAACCAACAAGTTTTCACATGTTTCTGTCATTTTCTAGACAAAACAATAAAAAAAAATTGTCAGCTGATTCACTGATATTGAAAATAACTTTATTGTTGCTAATGTAAAAGCCTTCATGTGCTCCGTCTACAATATTTTTAATATGTGGCTAAGACAAAAGTGGAGCTAGTACAGACATTTAACACATAAAACAAACTGAGGAAAGAATGAGAGAATTGGGTATAGTTCATTCAATATGATTGTTTTTTTTCTTCTTACACCTGTCAAGCAAATGGTTTTGGAGAAGATGCATTTCAGTTAAAATCCCTGGCAAAAAGAATTTCTCCATTGGGGATTAATAAAAATAAATCTTCAAAGGGGATATTGTTAGCACAAGGTGGTTTTGTGTAATACATCTTTTGCGCTTTTACGTTCAATAAAACTTGTTTCTACTAAAGGAGTATGATTGTGTTCATTTAGAGTGTAAGATGCTGAATTGCAACATATAGAGAGCCTATAAAGGCACAAAAAAGATGTTTAGCCTTTCTGTTTATACACTGCATCCCCATATCTCTGTAAATGGGAACAGATAACATAGCAGCATTAGCACAAAGGAGTTGAATGACAGAGTACATATTAGTAAATACATACCAAAAGCACAATTTAACAGCAGAGATTTTGACATATTCCTGAAAAAGGTCCTAGGTTTCTGCCTTTTAACAGGCAGTGTTTCCTTGCCCTTGTCTCCAAGGTCTTGCTCATGGTGGTACTGTTGGGTCTCTGTAATTAATGTTTTAAAGAGTTCGGTCTAGACCTGCTCTATTTGAAAAGTGTCCTGAGATAACTTCTGTTATGAATTGGCACTATACAAATAAAATTGAATTGAAAATTGAATTGAATAGACTCCTTCGAAAATAGGGCACACAATGTAAACCAGATTATAATCTAATAAAAGACAAATAATAAAATAACAAAGGGGGTCTATTCTTCTTATAAAAAACACCAATAAGGTTGTGTTGTGCAATATCAGAGTGAACACTTTGGACAGTGTACTTCTTCCCACTGAGCAGAGTTCAGTAGGGCTTTTATTTTGAACAGTTTGTCCGGAAGTGTCTTTGAGCGGCTGGCAGAAGTATTCAGTGTGTTCAGTCGTTGAACGCGCCATAACTGTTGGCAAGCTGTGAGCGATTGAGAAAACATTGTGTAACCAGCCCAGTTCCATCAAAGGACTCCGTTCTGGTGCTGTATTATCGCATTCACTCTTCAAACGGGACGGTAAGTTGTTGGTTGAAGAAGTAACGTTACCGGTAAACGTTGCTGCGTCATTCGTGAGTTCTGTTCGTTAGCGCCGCATGGCTTTAGTTAACGTTAGCCAGCAGGTTTAACGTTAGTTGCTGTTAACGAAAACTGCGCGGGCACAGGCCGGTAACTTAACGTTAGTTAATGTTAGCCAGGGCAATGAAATTTAACTTGTTTAAATGCCCCACAACACCCATACATAATTTCTGTCAGCCAGTCAACTAGCGTTAGCTCGACGCTGACGCCAGTGTGCTGCCTGCACAAATAAGGCCTTGTTAGCTAGTGTAGGTCGCTAATGTTAGGTGACTTAACGTTACGAATAACTATTGTAATTCTTTGTGAGTGCACTAATGTAATCTGAATTGCTGTAGTGGCTAGGAATATGTATTGTGAGGTTTATGTGTAAGAGGGTTCATTTATTGTTAAGCATCGTATAGTGCTAGTGCTCTGGGGCCTGGCTAAAGTAGCACAGCCAGTTACGTTGGTAATACGTTCAACCAACACACATCACTGCTACTACTGCGCCTGTAAGAAAATGGTGGATGTCGAGAGGTCTAACGGATTTGAGTTATTCCAAGGAGTTTTGCTTTAGCCATAAACATTTGGTGTATCGAACATACTTTCTATTGATATGTAACGTTTCATGTCTGACTAACACTCGCTCCACATTGAGTCCATAGTTAAATTCCATAGCTTATTACTACTCTGTTTATCTTATGAACCGGTGCAATGCATTTTACAATATACATTAAACTGTTAACATCCTTTATTGTCATACACTAGACTAAAATTATAAGGATTACTCAATAAAAGTACATTTTCTTTGTCTTCACAGGTGACGAATCACAAGATATCTTCTGGACAGCACCCTTGCAGTACCACTGTTAAACCACAATGATCACCAGAAGAAGAGGCCGCACTGTGAACACAGAGGTGCAGTCTCTGGAGGTCGAAATGGTAGATAGGGTGGAAACTGATGACGATCTCCCAAGTCCATCTGAGGGGTTCCCTGCAGACGATATTGACACCGCTGGAATAGAGCTGGAGGATCTATTTGAAATTGAAGACTTTAAATGGACATTTGATAGAGATACAGCCTCTCCACTCTTTGATATTGATTTGGCAGATCTCAGTGTGCGTGGTGCCAGGGATCAAGATTCCGGGATTGAAGCCTCAATAGCCTCGTCTCCGGAGAGAATGTTGTCTGACCTGAAGATCAAGAACAGACTAAACCAGTCGAGCCACGTGATCAACAAAAATGCCATCGCTGCCAGATTGAATCGTCAAAAGAAGAAAGAATATGTCAACAGCCTGGAGAAGAAAGTTGGTATCCTGTCAACGGAAAACAACGCACTCAAACAGGAAAATTCTCAGCTGACCAAGAGAGTGGAGGAGTTGGAAGATGAGACCAGGTACCTGAGAGCTGTGCTGGCCAATGAGAGCATGTTAGCCCAGCTCTTGTCCAGGCTGAGCGGTGTGAATGGGATGAAATTATCTTCCTCGCTTTTCCAGGGGCCCGACTCAAACGACCACGACTATGCCTTACCCAGGAAGCGTGTGAAAGTGGAGGAGAAAGAGACATCTGGTGGCGTGTGTCTGCACGTGGACAAGAACCATGTCTCGGTGGAGTTCTGCACTAAGTGTGCAGAGAGTGCAAGCACGTCGCTCAAAATGTAGGGTCAAGTACTTATCTCTGTTTTCAGATATTGAGACTGAACTTGATATGGCTCAGTGTACTGAACATCATGAGGGTGGATGAACACTGTTGAATTAGTTAAAACTGCTAAGAACTGCTGAATGTGCATGTGTTTCTGTGTGATGATGGATTTGAGTACACGTTACTGCTAAACCTTGTTGACAGTTTCTTCTAGGTAATGGTTGATCCACCATGCGGGATGAGTGGCTTTCTGAACACCTTTACCTTCTTGGCTCCATGGTAAGGAATCAGACAAGAAAATCCTTTTGTTTTGTTTTACATAGGCTTGTTCAGCAGCGACTTCAGTACTTGTATTATTGTATAGTTCCTGCTTCAGTTAGTGGATTTTAAGTACTTTAATCATTTCTTTCTTTATGGTTTGTTGTTCTAGGAAATGATTGGATTTTAGTTAACATGTAACAAAGAATTAACTTGTAATTAAGTGTTAAAGCAAAGTCTCCTGAATGTTAAGATGAAGGTGAAGGTCCACAAAGAGCGATCTTAGAGTAGCCTTCAAATTGGAAATGCAATAATCTGTGGACAAAGATAAGTCTGTATATACTTTCTTTTGGGAAGAATCAAGCTCTTTGTGAACCAGCACCAGTGTACAAAAGAATACTTTTCATTTAGCGCCACCTATTTTTCTTTATGCTAAAGTGGATTCTGCTGGTGGAAGGTGAAGAGGCTGGACAAGCAACTGCCCAACGAGGCCTGGTATTTTTTTAAAGGTAGTATCGGTAACAAATGGTATACGTTAAATTCTATTTTGCCAATACTCCACAACATCTGTAGCTGTAGATCCTGTCAGCATAGCTCATACAACATTTTTGTGAGGCTGACTACAGTTGCTCCATTACTTGGAGAAAGTCTACTGGAGGCTTAATAGTCTCTTAATTATGTGTTCTATATATTGACATATTGGAATGTGTTAATTAGATACATCCAAAATGAGATGCTTTAAGTGGTGACATTGCCAGTTTTGATCAAGTGTAACAAAATGTAAATGTGTATATAACTATGTATTGTTTGAGGTAAATTCCCTTTGAGAAATGTTGGACAAATAAATCATATTTTCGTTATGTTTGAGTTACAAATATCTGTGTGTCTTGCTCTGTACTTTTGATATTAATGCATCTCTTTTTCTCTTTCTGAACAGCAAGCTCTGCCGATAAAGGTCTTACTTTTCCTGAACATTTGGGTCAAGTCTGGTAAAGGTTGTCAAAACGAATGACGAGACCTCATTTGATGGAAGTACAAAGTACGCAGTATAAGAGGTCCAACAGGGGTTAATCTTCCTGCCCACGTTTTAGCCCATTTACTTCAAATCCTACAGCCAGGCATTTATCAATGCTTTCATTTATGGGCCTGGGTCAGTCCGCTTTAAGCTGTGCCATGCCAAGCCTTGATGGCTGGAGTGCCAGTTAAGTCTATATTAAATACATAATAATGCCTATGAAATAAATCCTGAAATCAATAAATGGATATATAAATGAGTCAACATAGGTTAATAAATAAATACATTTTGGTAACACTTTATTAGGATAGTCCACCTTCAGATAGTTTGGAGTAGTTTGGATTTGTAGATGTTTCACAGACCATGGAGTATATGTGACAGTTCATGAATATACCCTAACCAAGATGTCTGTTGTGCCTAAAACAGGGGTAGACAGCCTGCAGCTCTTCAGCCCCTCTCCAGAGGCTCCCTGTGGCTTTGAAAACCAGTTAGAAGTTTAGAAGTAAATAACTTCATAATTAATTAACGTTTTCATCTATTGTTGTTGGCTTAAAGTTTTTTTCTGTGTAGCCAGTACCTCAGTCTCAGAGGAAAATGGAGAAGTTAACAATGCATGGACAGACCTGTTTGCTTTGGCCACCAACACTGCTGGCTTATCATTGTCCTCATGTTTGATCTGTGGTGAGAACTTGTACTACTCTATAAACCATCAGTAAGCATACTACCCAAATAAAGTGTTTCCCTTCACATTTATTTATTTCAGGGGACTTTAATTTGAATAATGTTGAATAGCATTTATTTATTGCCTCTTTGATTTTCATCTGTTATATTCAAATGAAAGGGGTGTGGTTATGTCACATTCAGCCCAAAGTGGAAAGACCGAACACAGCCTCTTAGACAGACGGGGTCCAGGTTGACGACAGGATGCTCCTTGCTTCATGCTCTGTGTCAATTCTCGGTGATTTCCAGAATTTTCTAATGGACAGAAAGAAAGCTCAGTTAGCCATTCAGCCAGCTGTCCTATTGGCTGACTGCCTGTGCTGGGAGCTCAGAGCACCAGGGGAGTTGGTGTTCACACCTCTATGAGGGGGCTAACTGAGCTCACTAGCTAGCAGCTACAGTTGGCAGCAGTTGGAGGTGACTTTGGCAATAGTTAAAGCTATCTGTCAGGAAACAGCAGAAATCACCAAGAGTTGAGGCAGAGCGGGATGCCAGGAGCCAGACCTAGCAAGAAAACCACCTCAGTACGGTATTCCCTGTAGTCAAACTGGCTTCCATCTGCCTCAGAGACTGTTCAGTCTAACTTCCTTAGTCTGAATCTCAGATACCACAGCCCATTCATTTGAATGTATGAGGAAAATAAAGAGCTGGGAAATAAATGTGGCAATATGGAATAAAAGTCTCCTGAAATAAATCAAATTAGTTCATTTTAAAATAAAAACTTATCTAACCTGATTGACTCATTCATATATACACACACACACTTCCTCAGTTCTATTTTTCAGTCATATTTAATATTGACTTAAATGGCATTCCATATTGATCAGTCTGACAAGTTGTGCTACAACAATCTCATTCAACCAGTCCCTGTGAATTCTGTGCTACCGTGCGATTTTGTCCAATAACAACTTTTCCACAAACTTGACCAGTCATTGTAGTTTCCTGTGCAAGACATTCGGCTTTATTTAACCAAACTTTGTATTCCCATTGGAACAAGTGGACTTGTTTTACAATTTACTTTCTCCCTCAATTTCACTGTAAACAAAAAGACCCATTGGAGCATATATCAGTGTTTTTAGGAAAGCTGTTTCACGGTTTCTAAAAGTTTATCTTCACATACTGGTTTGTGACTAGCACACTTCCAACACATACTCAAGGTGAACAACTTTACCTGTGCTGTGTGGCGCAATGGAAAAATGCATTGTCAGCACGGGTCCACTGCTCGCGGCTGGTCATGGCTTGGCGCGACTTAACCACCCCATGTGCACAGACCTACAACGCGCTTACTGTTTGGAAGTCTCCAAAAACATTTATTTTGTAGACTTTTATGAAGTTCTGATTCAGATTTAAAGGAGTAGTTAAGCCTTTTTGGAAGGCTGTCCTGGTTCTGTCCAAGGGTATCAAAAAATCTACCTACCAAAGTCTTTAAAGCTCAGCACCACATTTTTTCTTCTTAGTTTAATCTATACAGATTGCCAGGCAACCAGTGAAAGCACCCCACCTAAAACCAGAAGTTGTTTTTGGATATCAGTTTTTATCACTGATGTAGATATACACACTATGTTCACACTGCAGTGTCCCAAACCAGTGTTGTATGTATGTGACTCAGATCTGATTTGTTGATGACAGTGTGAACAGCACCAATCATGTGGAAGCAGATCGTTTCATTTCTGATTTTTGCCACTGTATGTCATAGTTCATCATGCAAGTCACTTCACTTCCTGTTCACACTGGATATGGGCCACATTTAACAAATGTACAAAATAAAACAACAGATGCATAACAGCCAGACCAAAAACTGAACTGAGCACTGAGGCCTGCAGTTTGAACAAAGCTGTAGTGAGGTAATTAGTGATTTTTTGTTTTTATAGGACAAAGCCAGGCAGAATGCCGCCCATGAGAGAAGAGTCCATAAGTTTTCAAAGACCACCAACAGTTTTGCAGATTGATTTGCTAATGAGGGTGCAAACTGTTAATTGTTTGGATTGCTCATTAAAGTCATCAGGTGCTGATTGCCAGACCTAAACAGATTCCAAAAGCTACTAAATGTTTTTTTTTTAGAAACAGAGTTACAGTGTGCATTAAATGCTGAGCCATTTGTTATGGTTTAAATGCAGTACTGCACAAACAAGTAGGCGTTCAGGGCTGAGAGTGGATCAGAGTTCACTTATATTTACATGCAATATTTTTTATGGAATATATATATATATGATCTTGGCTTGGTTTAGAAATGATTCACAGTACTGGGTTCAGACAATGAGCTCTGCAGCATTTTCAAGTGCTTAAGGTCTTGGAAGGACCTCGCACAGAGACGCACACATTATGATGCTTAACAACCAACTGTTGACAAAGTGTAGTTACAAAATGCTTCTTGGACATAAAAGATGTCCTATTCTGATCATATGTTTACATAGTATCTAATAAATTAAGTTGATTGACAATGTGGCTGGGATTTATCACTATTTGGAAGCCAATAAACTCTTGTTATTGCAGAGATTTTGGGCTGTCAAAGATGGGTACGGTAATTAATGAACACACCAGAGCCCTCTGGGGTTTCTTTCTACTGTAACAAGTCAGCATGTTCGTTGTGGAAAACCTAAAACATACCTGAATTCCAAATGGCAGTCTCCACTAACTATTTCAATGAAATAGGATTTAGAAATGGAGGAAATGGAGTTTACAGGCAGAAACGTCAGCCAACTGGAGGATCTGTGCAAGTGTAAGTGACCGGTCATCTTCCCAAAGGTTCAGGCAGGCTGGGAAATAACCAACGTTGTAAAATCCAGCCAGCAGCATGGCCTCATTGATCACAATGAATGAATAACTACCCTTTGAACAAAGCAAAGACTGTTCAAGGATATTTTGATACTCAGATTTATTCAAATGATTTACAAAAATGTATCAACATTTCTACATTGTAAAGAAAAATATGCAAATGTTTTGTGTCCGAGGACTATGAGAAACAAGTATTCATTTCATGTCTTGTTAAGTTATAGTCCTGGGCTTTTACACACACACACACACACACACACACACACACACAGAGAGAGACTACATACGAATATATACTTTAGGTATGGAGGATGATACAAGGGAAAGTGTCTTACCACAAACATAGTTTTTCACATTTTTATAGATATTAGAAAAACAGGGTGGGGAGGGTTACTTTACCATTATACCATTATTAATGTAGTCAGTAAGTATCACAATATTAAAGTGCTGTAACTTGATTACCTTCTGTTACTTTTGGATTACCTCAACACCAAATGTGTAAATAAAGACTAAAAGAAAGATCAATAAGAAAAATATTGATCAAAGTTAATTCTATATATACTATAAGATGACAGAACAATGTAACCGTAGGAAAACAAATGGAAACGGAAAGAAAACGATGTTTAGCATCACAAATGTGCCCTGTGCTCAGTACATTTATAAAGAAAGAATTATATATTTTATCATTGTAATCCTGCTAATCCCGTTTTTACTAAATATAACTAAACTGATTTTGTCTTTTTCTTTCTTGGAACTGTAATGGATTACACTTACCTTTTTTTGTATCCTGATTACGTAACTCAGTAATGCTTTCCATGAATCCCCAAGCCTGTGGAAAAATACATTTTATATATGGCTTCAAACTAACAAATAGTTCTCCAGTAACAGTTAGGCTTTTGTCAAAACAGGAAAACTAACGAGAAAACTTGTGATTAAGTTACTCAAAAAGTGCAGAGCTCCAAAACAGAAATGTACAAATGGCAACACACTGACGTCTACTTTGCTGGCAGTTATTGGGCAGCAAAGTAAAGGGGGGTATTTTAGCCTTTTCAAGCCACCCTGGAAGTAGCACACCTAAAAGTGTACACCATATAGGCTGGGTTAATGAATATTACCAGTGATTAGAACAAACGCTGAAGCTCTTTCAGACCTTTTCAGAGGTTTAACGTATAAGTCAGGGGACTCAAACTCACACTGGCTTGGGGCCACTGCTGATTATGCCATCTCATAGGGGGGCCATTGCAATGATGAAGTACTGCAACATTAAAGTTAAACGTTATACAATACTACAAGATTTATTTCTGACTTTTATGACTCATTAATAATTTTTTTGTTTTTATTAGCACAAAGGGAACCATATCTGAGTTTCTGAGTTCTACAACCTTGAATCCTTGAAACTGCAATATTTCTGTAAAGTTACTTTTTTTCCATTAATGGAGCGGTGCCTGCGAGCTAATTCAGGCTGTGCTGCTATACACATGACATGCCTCTCTATAATAACACACCTAACACACTGGTCTAGTTAAGCTGCAAAATTTCTCAGCTCTCCCTCTGTTGTGTCAATGCTGCCTGCCCCACCACCACCACCACCCCAGCATCCACCTGTAGGCTCCGCCAAATCTATGATGTACTGCTGTAACAACGAGTTCAAACATGAGTTGTCTGAACTAAAGAACTAAAGAAAATGCAAACAGCAGTTTCATTAGATGCATTACTTTTAGTGTAACTGATCATAAATATCACCTGATAAGTCATTAATCTGTTCAGCCACTGTGTTTGGCAGATAGAGAGAATCTGTTGAACCAACTCTTCTTTTCTGGACGTAGAACATCAGCAACTTGCAACATGTAATCCTTCAGCCATTGCCTTTTCTGCTTTGGCGATTAACTGATTTACCACATTCCCTTTTCTATCATTTAGTAAGTTGGCTTAGTGACATATTTTATGGTTATTTCATTTCAAACCTCTTCAATAAGCCCAAACAGTGAACTTCGTTTTTAAAACTGGGGATTTGGATGAATTTTGAGCAGATTATTTCCTTTTTTAATACAATTCTCTGTCTGTACTATGTATTATTATTTTTTATTTTTTTTACAATCATACAGGCTTAATTGGTGTTTTTGACAAATTCAGTTTTATATGGAGGGGTAGTTGAAACTGGTATGAAACAAATAGAAAAAAGAAAGTTTTGGGCAAGTTTTATCTTATTTTTAACATCATGTTTCGGGCTGGAGGGGGGGTGATTAAAGGCTGGATATGGACCCCAGGCCGACAGTTTGAGCCCTCCCAGTGTAGAAGTACAATCTTGCATCATTGTGAACAAACAACACAGGACCACACAGACTTTGTCAAAGTTATTATTGTAGAATACTTTGATGTATTTTTTCTTTCATACAGACAAAAGGTGTTGGACTTAATTCCCATTAAATTCTCTTAGATTTCCATACAGATTTAGTCTACAGTATACAGGTGTGTTCTTTCTCATATATAGATATTTATTCGCTTAAATAACAGGCAGGTAACTCTTTAATATATTCAATAGTCTTTATGGTTTTTTTTTTTTTTTTTTTGGTCTTTTTCATTTCAGCACAGTTAAGGCTGCATTTTCTGTCTGTGGAACAGCACTGCGTTGTGCAAGAAGGGGGACCATTCTACACACGATATTTACAACAGTATGTATAATGAATAATGTAAAACCTTAAGTTCTTCCCATCGTTACATGGCAGTAAATACTCGTAGCAGATCTAAAAGAGCAGCCTAAACAATGCACTGGGCGCATTGCACTACTGCAGTCTCTAGCTCTGCATAGCCTTCCAGTTCTCCATCCTCCCTGGGTCCCCACTTTGTCCAGTCCTGTAGATCATAATGAGGTACATTTGTATCTCCTGTTCTCTATTTACAGAGTGGTGTCTCTGGTCTTAAGAGACTATAAGCATCTCCACACCTCTGCACACTTCAGGGGCTGTTCAGTGGACAGAAAACACAGCCCTCAGAATATGCTCAGGAGAATGTGCAACTGTCTTTATCCATCAGTGGGAGCACCGGTGGAGAAAATCAGAAAGAATAATATTAATAATAATAATAATAATAATAATAATAATCATAATAATATACAAGCGCTTCCATTTTGTTGTTCCTCTCTTTACAAAAAGCATTAGGATTAAAAGAAAGAAACATCAAAACTTAAAAAAAGAAGTGTAACAGGAACATAGTACCTGTAAATCAAAGATGCACATGTGCACATTTGGGCGGTCTGTACAGTAGTGGTGCAGTTGTACAATTTATAATTTTGATAAATATAATATATTATTTTTCACATTGTGTTTTGCCTTCTGTGAAACTGTCTCACAACATCATGATGTAACGTGGCTGGACGGATGGACAGAGATGGCTGGAACTGGACAGTCAAATTTACACCACTGTAGATCATTCGCCTGTTGTTTACTGTGTGTGTGTGTGTGTGTGCGTGTGTGTGAGCGTGTGTGCATGTGTGCGTGTGTGTGTTTTTTTGAGGAAAGCATTGACAGAGCTGTGCTAAGAGGTGCTGAAATAGAATAGGTTAGACTTGAACAGGATATGAGTGTGTGTATGTGTGTGTGTGTGTGTGTGTGTGCGTGTTTGTGAGATAGAGAGGAAGAGAGCGGATGTGGAGAGATCATAGCACACAGTAGTGACAGTAGCCTAAATGATTTACCAACACATAAAGAGTGACATTAATGATACCAAATGCATGCTTCAAAACAGACAGACCAATACAATGTCACCACCCGCCCACTCCCACAGGTCAGGTCGGGGTGGCGGCGATGATGATGAGCATTCAAGAAGACAGAGTTCTGTACAGGTAAGGGTGTTCCCAGAGAGCCCTGCGCGCATCCTGAAACAGAACTAGCAGGACAGACATGTTCTCTCGCTGTGTTTGCATGTGTTGTCATCTCTAATCCTACGTCTGGGTACAGGTGTTGGCAGGGCAGTCTGTTGCATATTGTCTGCCCTTGCCTCCCTCTGGTGGCGGGACCAGTTGATAACTCAGGGAAGTCAACGGGGGTTAACCGAGAGGAAGGGGAGGGAGGAAGGAAGGGAGAGATAGAGAGAGAAAGAAGGGCGTGGGGGTGGGGGTGAGGGGTCGGGGGAGTTCCAGGTTTGCATTGCAGTCACGCTCCGAGGCAACATGAAGTCAGCGGTTCACCCACACCTAGTGCAACATGGGATACAGGAGGGCACTCTCACACCCGGTCTGGAATGTGATGCAGTCGTTTGGAATGTATGTTCCATGGAATGTTGAGGCGGCGTTGGAATGTGATGTCACAAGCGCTGCACCCATCAGCACATGGGCGGCTAGCCAGATGTTTTCTGTAATTTTTTTCTTCTTTTTTTTTCATTTTCATTGTTGGGGTGTGCACATGCAGTTTTATGCCCTTTTACATCGGACAGCTTCAGCGTGATATGTCTTAAAACGGTGGTTCAACATTTTGACAAATACGCTTGTTGGCTTTCTTGCTGAGAGTTTAAAGAGGAGACTGACACCGCTCTCATGCCTGTCCATTCAATGTGAAGCAGAAGCCAGTTAGCGTTAGCTTAGCATAAAGACAAAAACGGCTAGCCTGGCTCTGTTTGAAACAAAACCCTTCTACCAGCACCTCTAAAGCTATCTAATTAATATCCTATATCTCAGTAGTTAAATCCAGTTTATCAAATGGGAATAACTCTAGGGGTAGTTTGGAGTACTGCAGGGGGTGTGTGACATTTCTTTTAAATGTTAATTTAAAAATCAGTCTTGTTAAATTCCTAAAATAATTATACAATGTTCAATGTAAATGTTCGATATACCACATTTTATATTCAATATTCCTATTTTCAATGCAATTATGCAGTAAAACCTCTGGAAAGGAGTTCATTGCACTGTGAAAACTGCACTGCCTGCCACCGTGAATGACAAAGATCCTCAGTGAAGCCCATAAATTGTACAAATCATCAAAAACAATGCCATCTTAGAGTTATTGCATAATGATGACAGATGGCTGTATTATACCTCTTTATATGGGCATTTTCTTTCCACCAAAAATGTTTTGCATTGATCAGGGGGTACATGAAAAACATTTCAAAGGGGATAATTACTGAAATTAATGAAAATAGCAAAAAAGTAAAGAATCCACACAAAAACCAAAGAACAGAAAAATGGTTCTAAGAGGGTTTATGTGTCGGACTATTTTAACAAGACTCCAGAAGGTTACTGAACCCGACCAAGAAATTATTCGCAACATAACCCTCTATAAAACCACAACTTGTTGTTGGTTATGCAGTGTTCACAGAATGCAATTTAATACCTGTTTCACCATAATACCGGCCAAAGTATTAAAAAGTATGATGAAAAACCAGTAAGGACTAGACTTATTTATTCTTACATCACATTTTTCAGCACTTCCAGCAGTATATAACAATAATTCCAAATGGTTTATTTAATGAATATGGCCTGGACCCATTATAAGACAATGAGCATTCAGCTAGCAGTAGTGACGGTGTTTGCTGCAGGTCTGGTGCTGACTAAACTCTACAAAAAGGAGTGAACAGCCTCCTGCAACACAGTCCACTGTCACAATCCCCCTTTTAATCTGTAAATGCGTAATGTCGCATAATGACTTCTGTTAATGAATCAATACCTTCCAAGGCCTTTTACTAAGAAAACTGATTCAATGCTTTTTAAGACTCTTTAACACCTACAGAGACCCTGGCTTTATACGGTTTAAATTAGTGAGCTATAGAGGTGCTTTTGTTAAAGGTCCCCTCCAGACATGTATTAAGACATATGTAAAAAAATAATAATAGTCTGCTTGGAACATGTGTGTATACATGTAAGTAGAATTTCCACATTAAAAGCCTTCAAAAGTCATCTCCTCCTTCTACCTCATTAAAACCTCCAGAATCTCTGAATATACAAATGTTGTTGATTTCTAAAGTTTTCCTGCTGGACACAAGATGTCTCCTACTTCACTGTAAAGTCCATTCTCAGTGGATGGGCACTGGTGGCTTCAAGTTTCTACATCACACTGTACAAGTTACATACTGGACCAGGATGACTTCCAGACTATTTGTGATGTCACAAATCCTGCTGGTAGGCCCCGCCCCTTAAAATCAGATGTTCAATGAGCACAGAGAAACTTTCCTCTTTCAGCAGATGAATGTGAAAACATCCTTCTAGTGTCAAACTCTGAACATACAGCATTCAAACAGCACGCTGTAGAGACAGGAAGAGACACTGATTTCTGACTGGAGGGGGTTTTAAGCTTTGAGAGAGCTAAGCTAACCTGTTGCTACCTCATATTTGGTTCCCAGACGTCAAAAGTGGCAAGAAAGCAAATAAGCATATTTTTCAAAATATCAAACTGTTCCCTTAAGGTATCCCAATCAACTAATTGTACATCATGATGATGGGGAATGCGCAGTATTTGACACAAGGACATGACACATGAGCTCTCATTGGTCGTACCTGATAGATCTGATCTTTGGGCCTAAAGCTAAAACTGAACACTGACATTAGACATGGGCCTGATCGCTCAAGCGGTCTGTTGCTTTTTCAACATCAAACAGTGATCGAACATCCAACAGATCAAATGAAACAATTTCTTTGTCCACAATGCTCATGGAGAAGTACACGATGAAGATGACCCAATGGCACGTGAGCAGGAGTGGGTTTGAAGTGAGTAGTGTGTATGTTAGTCTTAAAGGGCCATCGCCTGTGCATTGTGTGTTTGATGGCGTTTAAAGGGTTAATGCTTCACAAGCATTCAGCTTCTCTTTTCCCCATAAAAAGCTGACACGTGCACACACACACACACACACACCGACGAAAGAGCAGATGGGGTGAGTCAAAGTGAACATAGGGAGCAACAGAACAGACAGAGGAACAGCAAGAGAGAAGGTGATGGAATAGAAAAGAAGAAACTGGAAGAGGATGTCACCGCGGGCGACGCCCTTCGATATTACCCACACACACTCATCATCAGTTCACCAACATGGCAGGAGGCTGTAAATTAAGGTAGTCCTGTATGGGGCTAATGTATGTGTACAATTAATGTGAGATCCCACACACTGTATCACCTCATAACAGGGTGGACACATTTATGGGGCGGCATTCAAGGACTGGGCAGGTTGGGCTGGAGAAAGAAAAGTGATCAACATATAGAGTTCTGTGTTATCGCTTCCCAAACATTCAAATTATATATACATATTCATACATATATATGTATGTAACCCCCACCTCCCACCCCCTTACTTGTTTTTTGCAGCCATTCTATTTACTATTAGGTTTGAATGAACAGTATCTTTGTTTGCAATTTCTGTTTTTGTTATGTTTTTTTTTTTTTTTTTCAGAAGAGACGAGACGATACACATACACACATTGAAAGAGAGCAAGGAATGGCGGAAAAAGAAGATTTCAGAATTTCAGAGAGAGAAAAGAAATGGATGGAAAAAATGAATGAGCACCATTATGTTGTATGAAAGAAATGAATCAGAGGGTTGATGTCTAGTTAAAGCTTTAACAGAGCATTTTACTTATATTGCAAGCAAAGAGGTGAATTAAAAGTGGCTGTGGATTCGAGCCAGACAACTGATGGGGGTGGGGGCTATGGTGCCATGGCAGGTAGGTAGGGAGGTGGCTAATGGTAACAACACTAATGATGAACACCAATAGAAACAGAGTGAGTCAGCCTCTGGTCCTGACATGGCCCTGTTCTACTGAAGGGGGTGTGGTTTTTCTTTTTGGATGTCTGTCCCCTCTCCCTCCCCAACCCACCGTCGCTCAGGACAACGCAGCGAGAGCAGACCTGTGCGTGCGTGTGACGAGTGTGCATGAGGTCTGGCAGGGTGGGGCAGTGGAGGGTGGTTCTTTAGGGGGGAGGAGGGGGTGGGGTGGGGGGGGTTGAGGGTGGAGGGGGTGTGAGGGGTCAGACTGAGAGGGCTGGAGCAAGGTCAACGGGAGGGAAAGTCGCAATGTTCTCGGGGGAGTTTGCGAGCACAAGTCTCCAGCCACTGTCCACTCCCTCCTGTGCCTCCCTCGTCCCTCGCTCCCTCTTGTTAGCTCGTCGTTCGGGAGATTGGATGAAAATGTCATGTGTGAGTCCTCAGCCCACTCCTCCGCACCCCTTTCCTCCCCCTCCCCAAGACTCTGTTCCCCTTCTCCCCCCGAACCCAGCTCAGTTATAAGGAGGTCTCCACGCAGTAGAGATGGGCCAGGTGAGGGGCGGAGGGTTTCACTGGCCTGTCCCTGCCATGATGGTTGTGGTGATGTTGGTGGCAGTGGCGGTGATGGGGGCACCGGGTGCTGGGGGTAACTGCGTTGGTGCTGTTTTTGTTGCAGTGGGTGACTGTTGAACTGATGCTGCTGCTGCTGCTGCTGCTGCTGCTGTTGTTGTTGTTGTTTCGGTTGCACGGGGTCACAGGGAGGCTGTACTGGCGGTAGGGGCGGGTGGGTCGGGTGCGGGCCGAGGGCTGGGGCTGGACGGGAGGGGGCGGTGGCTTGCGGAGGGCCGGGTGCAGGTGCTGGTATCTGCTGAGCTCTGATTCGTCGTCCACGTCAGTGTCGTCGATCAGCGGGATGTTGTGGATGAGGTCGTTGATGAGGAACTCCGGGTGGGCCATGAAGTTGTGGATGGAGTTGCGGGATTCCGGTTTCTCCCGGCCCTCGTACAGCGAACTACGGAATGCTTTCACCACTCGCATCTGCCGACAGGAAGAAATACGAGAGAGAGACCACAAGAAAGAGAGGAGAATGTCAGACATGATAAAAGAGAAAAAAGAGACATGGGAAACCCAGAGACAGACTTGTGTCCTCCAGCAGACAAACAGAGTGACAGACAGACAGACAGACAGACAGACAGACAGACAGACAGACACTCTGGGCCAGGTGGCTTCAGTATACAAGATAACTTGATATGTATAATATTGGTCATAATAATTGATTTGACACAGCTGCTCTGAAAGCTGAAGTAAAAATCTTACTGACTGGATTAAACCCAAGTGACAGCTGTCTTTTAGAGCACAAGGTAAAGGAAATTTTAAATATTTATATAAAAACATGGGCAGGGGCTAGCCTGGCTCTGTCAGAAAGCAACAAAATCTGCCTACCAATACCTCCAAAGCTCAGTAATTAACACATTATATCTCGCTTGTTTCATTTGTTTTCATTCAACATTTATGCGCCTGACTATTTCTTGGCTGTGAGTGAAGAACGCTGTCCGTGCTCCTAATACCATTTGCAAGAATACACCGGGCCTGAGTAAAAACAACCAATCAGAGCTGAGAGAGATAGAAAGACACTTTGGGTCAGTGGTTTAAAGATAGTTGATTGTTAAGTCTCATTCCCAGTGTCTGTATTTGAGGACCTGGGAATGAGACTCAGCAACCAACTATCTTTCTCTTACAAATACCATTAAGAGCACTAGGAGGAGCCAGAGGAACCTGATGTTTTCACACATTATGTGTCTCATGTTCTACACGTTTCAGCAAATATGACAAAAGGGTATTTTTAGAAAAGTTATCTACTGCAGCTTTAACCAAAAATGACTTATTTTCCAGTGTAACCAGGCCCTTGGAGGTGTTGGTAGGCGGATTTTGTCAGCTTTGGAAGATGCTGTCAGTTTGTATCGCCTCCATGTTCTTCCAGGAAGGAAATTGGATTTGTTCTCACTCATGTACACAGTACATGATTCCATTTACAGATACCAAGGTCATTTCTCAAACTTTGCAATTATATAACTTGGAGTAATTCAGCATAAATGGAGCCTCCACCTGATCCTGTGTGTCTCCAACAGACAAAAGAAAAAAAAAAAAAAAAACAGTGTTCCAAAATGAGTTGGCTAATGACATGTTTATGTCAGTTCTCACACAACAATCAGACCTCACAAGACAAGAGCATTCAGTAGCCGCCATCACAAAGACCACAGAAGCTGCAGACTGTGTGTGTGTGTGTGTGTGTGTGTGTGTGTGTGTGTGTGTGTGTGTGCCGGGGGGATGATGTGTGGGGGAAAACACTTCAGTACCTCAGCACACTGGATCACACGCATGCACACACACAGATGAGGCTGGTTATTAGGCACAGATGGAAATGAAGCAGGAATGGTGAGTGTTAGTTTAATGTACAATAAAATAAGAAATTGGCAAGAACCTATAGCAGTGACCCACACACACACACACACACACACACACAAACACATAAACATGCATGCAGCAGCAGTGTAACTGAGTAAACCCACAGTTGAGTTGTTTTCACATTGTGCAGCTTGGAGGCTGACGTCTACATGCATCGGGCAGTTGTCAATCATGGGTGCGTTTGTTAAAGAGATCTGGTTCATACACGCAGACACATCTACAGCCAGTCAGCTAGCCAGTCAACATCTCTATGCGCACACACACACACACGCACGCACACACACGCATATGTGCAAAATGTACTGCGGCCATGCAGCAGTGAGAAACAGAGGAGAGCAGAGTGATTGAAATGAAGATGATGCTGATGATGAAGTTGCTGCAGGATAGAAAAAAAACATGTCTTGCAAAAACAGAAAGGTGACATCATGGAGAATCAGCAGGTTAGAACAGCATGTGATTGGTTAGATCACTAAAAACAGAAGGTGATTGGTTCAAAGGCCGGAGCAAAGCTGGGGTGTCAGCCCTGTCACACATAGAGAGGCAGCCAGGTCATGCTGAATCAGATCTTTGTCACTTACACTCTCTTTCCTCTCTCACACATATATACACACACACAGACACACACACACACACACACATATCAAAGTGAGGTCTATGAGTGTACTTCAAGGTGGATTATGCAGTCTATGGTGTATGCGTGCGTAAACACATTCCTTTGCCATGGCAGTTGGTCCATGCACCCTTCCCCCAAGCCCAAACAGAGGAAAAGAAGCAGCATGAGCTCAAAAGAAACAGAGACAGTTCAGTGCAAATATACCGACAGGCACAGGCAGGCAGAGCACTACATAGAGACAGTTCGGCCAAATGAGATCAACACAGAAGAAGCTTTATGTTGACTGCAGCACCCACTGGAGTCCAAACTGTGAAATTATGAGGTGGATGTTCAGGCAGCTGAATGGAGATCAGTGCTGCAGTTGGCCAAACTAGGAAGTCTCTATATATCACTCTGACATACATGATAGACTGAGACAGACGTACAGACAGACACACAGACGGTCAAGCAGTAGGTTCAGTGCTTATCTGTTTTTCCAAAGAGCCAGTCAGACAGTAGAAAAACACCTCATGCAGACTGAGAAGGTTTCAGAATGTTACTTTCTCACTTCGTCAGCGCTTGGTTTGTTTTCATTTTGTCTCCGTGGAAAAGAGTAAACTTTCGAGTATATGACGCCCACAGGGTGACCAGAGAGGCCTGGAGGTCAGGGCACTGCTGTGTTACTTATTCCTCTCACCCACTTTCTCTCTCCCTCTCTCCCTGTCGGCTCTTTCAGCAGTGCTTGATGGAAAAACGATGATGGTTAAAGGAGGAAACAGGCGCTGGAAGGTAGAGAGGCTGCTGTGTGCAAAACAACTGCTGATGAGAGGAAACCGCAACATAAATACAGGGAGAAGCTGTGAGGTACATGACTGGTTAATGGCTCCCACTGAGCACCAGCACCCACCCTTCCGTATGTGATGACTGCGCTCTAATCCATAGCAACACATCAGCAACACCTTCCTCAATTCAGTGCGTACTCTCTCTGGGTGGAGGCTGAAATCGAATTTGAATATTAAGAGCTTTAGCAAAGAATTGAGGAGCTGAGGATGGATTTGAGATTCCTATTCCATTTTACCATTCCTGACCAAAGTCATCTCTTTAACTTTCCTATAACTGCAGATAGATGAAAGTAGCCCAGTCTGAAATGAAAACAAACTGGATCCATAGATCGGTTCTAAAGATCCAGAGGGATCACTAAAGTCCAGCACAGCTCAGGTGGATAAAAGCATGAAACGGAGACATCTGCTAATATCATCTTTTATATCTCTGTTTAATATTTTAGGTGTTTCTTTCAGATATCCTCGGACTCTCTTCTTACCCACTGATGATAGACGTGGCAGTAAAAGTCAACGAGGTGATGGTGTCAACGTCAGAGCTTGCGCACATTGTACTGCAATGGGGCACAGTGCCAAGTCTCAGGCCAAGAACTCTAGTGGAGTGGAGTAACGCTGCCTGAAGCTAACTGTGGACGCAGTGCATGAGGAGAGGTCAGTCTGTCTCGATAACATAATAATTTGTAGTGTGTGTGTTCGCTGCTTGGGGATTCCCATATCAGAGTATGTCATCAGACTTTAAACACTTAAAGGATAAGGCTGGTGATATTCTGTATTTGTGGTATTGTCACCAAATCCCATAAGAAAAACTCTGTGCCTCACTAATCTCTGCATGTCAATGTCATGGTTTGTGGGTGCCTCACTAATCTCTGCATGTCAATGTCATGGTTTGTGGTATTAAGTCAGAGCATGCAACATTTCCACATTAAAATGTCTCTAAACTCTGGCTCTATATGAAGTTTTATAACTAGGTTCGGGAACAAAGACCACACCCGAACTCACCTCATTTCCACTCAAAACATACTTAAGCACATCTTATCCGTTCACTTCCTCCTTGACTCATTTTCTACAACCCTCCCCCCTAACCCTTTTTTATTTCTCTCCCCATCTTATCCAAATACAGGAACCACTGGGGCTCTTGAAGAGTTAAAGAGATGGCTCCCCCACTCAGCGTCTCACCACCCACTCTGTTCCCTCTGGCCGTTTCACCGAACTTCTCCCTCCATCCACCTAATCAGTCTTCCTTCCTTTCTATCAATCCTCACCCGTCCTTCCCATACCCCCTCGACCCTTACCCCTTCATCCCTTCATCCTCTCATCCCCTCCATCCCTTAACCATTTTTCCTCCCACAGTATTCCACATTCGTTCATAACGTGTAATAAACTTTTCTTATTCCATACAGCTGTTGGCGTGGTCTTTGTTTGTGAAGTTCTATAGTTGAGTTGTGTACATCCATTATCTCAAATGTTTCCAACAATGTTTAAAATCGGTCATTTTTTTCAGGTAACCCAACGTTAACAGTGTGGGAGAAGCAGTGATTTTTAAGGTGGAACTGCTTTATTCAGTGTTTTCAGTGGTTTTAATCAGCGGGTCTGTTTGTTTTGGAGAGGAGGAGTCCTCTGTGGATAACTGGGCTCCTGGTAGAAACCTCCTGAACCATGAACATGAAGGAATCCTAACCGGGAGAAGCTGACTGCAGTGATGGCAATGGTGGTGAATACAACAACTCCCATGATCCCACACTACTTCATAAAAAATGACATACTCAGTCACTTAATCTTTTTGTTATTGTTATGTGAGAGACAGAATTTACATATTGTGAGTTGAAATGTCTCAACAACTATTGGATGGATTGTCAAGACATTTGGTATTGACATACGACTCTGGTGATTCATTTTTAATCTAACACCATAAATAAGTCAACATTTTATTTTCTCTGATGTGATACCTGCACAACTAACATTCCCACTGGCTTAACTGTACTTTAGTGCTAATTAGCAAATGTTAGCATGCTAACTCTCTAAACTATGGCAATGAACATGGTTAACATTCTACGTGCTAATTATCAGCATGTTAGCATTGTCATTAAGAGAACGCTGACATTAGCATTTAGCTCAAAACACTACTGTTTCTAAGTAAAGCCCCTCGGAGCTGCTAGCATGGCTGTGGACTCTTTGTGTTAATAGATTTTTGGACAACAGTGTACCTTTGTTACAGCAACCATTTTGACATGAAGTAGTAGGGTAAACACAGGTGTTACCAATGATACTGATTAAGGTTCCGGTTCATCCAGGTCAAGCAGAGTCAGGGTCCTGCTATTGTGCATGGTGGCTCTACTACACTAAATTGAACGAAACCATAATTAGGAAAAAGGGCAATTATTAGTCTCTTTATGGGAGTTGACAATAAGAAACCTACAGAATATCACCAGACGTTTATCTTTCACACTAAGTAAAATCAAGTCTGATTCTGTGGCTGGAAGTTTATTTGACACAATGTGAATTCTGCTTTTTGCGTAATTCCCATCCCTAAAGCTAAAGCAAACAGGAACACATCTGATTTGGCCACAGGCTGCCTCCATACAACATGAGGTGATTCAGAGAAGCAAACCTGGGTCACATTAAACTCAAAGTTAATGCTTGCTCCTTCACATTCCCTCCTCGTCCCATTTGTTTGTCCAGATCCATCCGGTCTCTCGTCAGGAACTGAACCACAAAATGCAAGTATGCGTCATACTGCTGTTGAGTAACAGATTTGGACACAACAAGCTTTTCGAATTAAGGGAAAAGATTTGAAAAAGCAAGCAATGGGCTAGCAGTGGCGGGGCCCTAGCCCTAGTTCCATACTTTGACTGTAAATCCCTCCTTCCACACCTTTGTTGATATAGGCATACATTTTATTTTACTTCCATGCCGTCGTTATGTTTTCGGTGCCACTGTCAGCAGGATTACAGAAAAACGAATGGCCCAGTTTTCATGAAACTTGATGGAAGGGTGTAGCATAAATCACAGGACAGATACACAAATTATTTTACACTTTGGTTAATAAAGATTGGTTGTAAAATACATAGAGCTTGCAGATATGCATTTCATAGAAGACTGAACTATTGGCCTTGACTGAGTGCCCCTCTAGCTACATCTTATACTGATGTTGTAAAGTGATGGAGAGAAGGATGTGTCTTCCAAAGTACTTAAACAAAGCCCATGTAACTTCTGGTGTCTGTGCAGCAGCGCTGACTTGGGCCTCTCTGTATCTACGCCTACGGGTGATGGAGCAACGTGGTGAGGAAGGCAGCTTGAAATGGAAGGAGGGAACGGAGCAAGGGAGGTAAAGGACAAGCAACTGAGAAGACGGATGAAGACAATCAAATGAAGAGACAGCACAACCACACACATGCAAGCAGGCACACACACTCACACGCAGGCACTCGCACACTAACAGAGGAACACACAGAAGTCAAACTACAGATCTCGGATATGTCAGCAAATGCACACGCATAGACACACTTGCAAACAGACACGCACAGAACTGACATACAAAGAAATCAAGAGAAAACATGAGTGGTGGACGCTACTCTAGTAAGGAAATGGGAGGATGACAAAAAGGGATGACGACAAAAAAAGACAAAAAATGAAGAGAAACCTACTAAAGAAATCTTATCAGTAGCTACACAAGAGCCTGTATTTAGATCTGGTCAAATCTAAATACCTCTACAAAAGAACAACTCTACTTATGAAGAACAATAAGACACATTTCACAGAATATTTCTGCAAACAGGGAACCTGTAATAGCTCATAAATCAAGAAGAAAGAGGAGAGAACTGTGGATGGAGAGAGGGGGGGGGGGACAGAGCGGACAGAGAGAAAAAAACAGGACTTTTTGGAGACATCAGGGGGGCCAAACTTGTGACGTCGGAGCTGGAAATACTGTTACAGAAATAACCAGTTGACAACAATTGCAGCACCGCACAAAAGTGAGAGGAGCACAAGAAGGAGAAAGAAAGCAAGAGCAATAGAGGAAGAGGGAACTTTTTTTCTTTAACTGTAGTCTTGGAAACAGCAGTGTGTTATAGGGCTTTTATACTCGAAGGTTTACAGTTTAGAGAATTGCAGATGAAAGCCATTTGGAAATGAGAGTGAATTCTGTGAAATCTAATCGTAGCATTTTCTACAGTATGGTAGGAGCATTGTTACAGCAACGCTATATTCTCTCGCTTTATAGAGAAAAGAAATGACACCACTCCTTTACATGAGAGATGTTCACAACCAGGGGTCAACCACAGTAACCACGCTTGACCTCATTCACAGACAGGAAGTAACACATGGTGCAGGAGGCGCTGCCGTTTGCTCTCTGGACTTTAGGATGTGTCCTTGTCGGAGTAAATTAGACTGTTTATTACTTAAATTTCTTTTTAAACACGAGTCACTTTGTGTCTTTACAAACAACGCTGCTCCATTTCTGTCAGGACACCTCAGACAGAGAGAGGACAGCGAGGCGCCTCCCGCACCGACCAACACTCAACAACAAAACAAACTCTGGACTGGCGCCGGGACTGGATTTGGTCCAGACCAGGATCAGACCAGAACTACACAGCCGGTCAGGACTGGGTGCTGTTTGAAAAGGGAGAATAAGAGAAGAAAAGAATAGAGGAGACATTGCACACACACGAGCAACGAGCGAGCCGGAGGGGACACAACCATAGAGTAAAAATACTGCAGTCCACGTGCCGTGCAGCAGTGTGTGTGTTTGTGTCTACGAATGAGTGTGAGAGAGAGAGAGAGAAAGTGGCTGCAAGTGTGTATGCAGGTGTGTGTGTGTGTGTGTGTGTGTGTGTGTGTGTGTGTGTTCATGTGTGTACATGCGTTCGGCGGACTCACTCCCGGGGGCTGGGCTGGTATTGGCTGTTGCGGTGGAGAGAGCTACGTGAGAGGGGGTAGAGATAGTGTTTACGTCGTGGAGCTGACTGAGCACGGAGGAGCGCCGTCTCACCGCTCCCTGAAACGAACCGCTTCGCTTGAACGTGCTCACTACCTCCATCTGCAGGACAGAGACAAAACAGCAGCACTCAGTGAGGGCAGGAGAGGCCGGTCTGAGTGTGCGGAGTGTGCATGTGGGTGTGTGTGTTGTTGTCCCTTTCAAACACTTCTTGTCCCAGCAGAAACAGCATTTAAATTCCCTTTCATGGCAAATGGGCATCAAGCCTGCTCTGTGAATGTTACTGATGTGTGTATTTGTTGTGTGCACACTCAGACCAAGCCCTCTTAATGAAAAACTGACCACTTTACGCAAAGACAGGCACTTAAGCAGAGAGTCTGGACTGGGAATTAACACTGTTTAGGAGGCTGTTGTTCATGTTGATGCCGTCTTAACGTCCATTCTCACTCAATCGATCAGTTAAAGTAATCAAGCAAGTCAACAGCCTGTCTACTTAGCGCTGGCCTGTACACAATGTGTAAACAATTGCAAACACAAGTGCCGCCGCACCGACACACACGCTCAATCACAGCATTTACCCTCTCTCATGATGTGAGCATCTAAAATACCACTTCCGAGTCAGAGAGAGCATTAGAGAGCAGAAAAGCTAGCTGCGTTGGAGAGAAAAGACTGGAATCATTATGTTTGGCACAAGTCAGAAGAAGAGCACAGACAGGATGAGAGAAAGGACTGACTTTTGAAGAGTAAGAACAAATCACTGTTTAAGAGGCAATATTATGCTCATTTTCAAGTTCATACATGTGTTTGGGGGGTTTACTATAATAGGTTTACATGCTTCAGAACACAATATCTTTAACATACTGACCACTGACACACTCAAGAAGCCTAGTCTCCTCTGATTGGTACAGACCACCGTGTAGATTCACTAGGTTTCAGTGGGTGCAAACTGTACACATTAATCATTCATATTCATATTCTTTGTAATTCACATTATATTTTGTTCCAATGTATCCTCATCATACTTTTATCACGTTCCCCTTTAACAAACTGCTCGTGTGTCATGACCATGTGAAGCTTCTGGTTGAGGCGTTGTATGTGGTGTCTGGATATCTGTGTGTGTTCCTGTGAAAGAGGTTTGGTTATTGTTTGTTTTGGTGGTCCAGTCAAACAGTACCTGAGTCTGAATGCGGTTGAGGCCTCTGAACCAGAGGATCTGTCCGCGTCGCAGCTCTCTCTCAGCGCAGTCGATCTCCTCCTCATCCTCTGCCATCTCCTCGCCTTCCTCCTCCCCGGGCTCCAGGCCTAGCCCCGCCTCTTTCAGGCAAGGCAGCCGCTCTGTCGGCACCGTGGCGATCACCTGGAGGCCGGGTTTGTCACATTGTCATTTGAGCAGAAGACGCTAGTATGGCATTGTATGTACTGAGCAGCTGTGAGCTTTTTCAGCCATCTTACTCACAGGACGGTTTGGATAATACCAGATTATGTCAATTTCAGCACAGAATAGAATAGATCAGAGGTGTTATCTAAGTCAATGTGAAAATGTTTCCTTAGCCTCACCTCAGAGAAAACTCTAGGTAAACCAGGCCTGCCAGCCTACAGTTGCTCAGTGTGGTTTGACTCAGCAGGCTGAAGAGCTGCTTACCTGCCCCCAGAGCAGCTCTCCAACTCCCACGAACAGACACCAGAGCCACTGCTCCACGTTGAGAGGGGCACAGCTGAAGGGCTTCCCTCCCCACTGCACAATCACGATCTGCAGCAGAAACACAGGGAAGGACGTCATTGTTGCCACACAGGCAAACAATGTCAAGGGAGAAACAGCCACTGCACTATCTGCTGCACGAGCCACAGTCTGCACTGTAAGAAAAATGCAGTAACACTGGGATGTGTCAACAGTCAACACCTCTATCTTCTAGTTTGTCACGATTTCAGGTATGAAATACAAGGTGGCATTATCACTGTAATCCCTACTGCATCTAATAAAGATCAAACCAGGATGTGTAAAAACACATGCAGACATTTTATGTCTGAGTTTTGTATCTAGTTATTCATCATTACCCTTGCTAAGTCTCGCCTCTTTTTGCTCTGTGATGGTTAAAAGATAAACGCGACATATATACTAGTTAACTAGTTAGCTAATCTATCAGTCGTTAGCTAGCTAGTTAGCTGTGACTATATATATATATATATATATATATATGTCGTATACGTTGTATATAATGTTTTAAAGAGTTCGGTCTAGACCTGCTCTATTTGAAAAGTGTCCTGAGATAACTTCTGTTATGAATTGGCGCTATACAAATAAAATTGAATGTTGCGTTTATCTTTTAACCATCTTGAAATGTGTTTTTCTCTTTTCAATAAAGACAGCATAGCACATCGCATATCTAAGTACAGGAAAGGAGAAAGTTAATCGAGGTTCTGACAGAGGCTTTTTTGAAGACTGTTAAAATATAAAAGGGACATATAGTCACATCTTAAGTTAGCTAATGTTAGCAAAAGTAATTTTGTTTACATTTAGTTTGTAACTAGCTATCAAACGATCAATCTTCTTATTTAACTCCTTGCAAGAAAGCAAAGTTTATTTCCCAAAATGTTGAACTACTTCTTGAAATAATTTGGAAGCTGCAACCAAATCTTAACACTTATCAACATTTATGCATGACACCAATAATTCTGACAGCTTTAAGAACAACATTTTACTCTGTGCAGCTTTATACATAGCCTACTTGTCCAGAGAACATAATGTATAATGTACATAACGCTTTATAATCTTAGCTGAGAACACATGGCCTCAGCTACATTAATCATAGCAATTATTCTCCTCCAGCTTATGTCACTGTGTAAACAAGGCATAAGAACAAAAAACATAAAAAAAACGCAGCCATGTGGCTTTAAACTTGGACCACACTAACACCACGCTCCGATAGTGGATGTAGCAGCATTTTATATAGCAACATGATCATTTACACCAGGAACAAGGCTTATCAGAGTGACACTATCATCCTGACACCAAACTGCTCTGTCATTAATCTCACTGGGAGTACGTACAGTGTATCACATACTGTAATCATATCTTTCTGCAGGGAGGAGGGATCCATCTTTCCTCTTATTCCTCTCTTTCACCTCTCTCAAGCTGTCTCCAGCCTTCAGCTCTCTCTCATCTCTTCTTTTCCAAATCCCTCTGAACTGTCTCTTTGTCGTTCTCACACTCCAAATCACTGCCTTCTCCCTCCAGCTCTCTCTCTTCTCTTGAGTACCACTGAGAACTGAAGAGCTTTGGAAAATATCCCTTTCCTTTTCTCTCTGTCACTCAGTCTGTCTTTGTTTGCCCGTCTGCGTTTTTTTGTGTACTCACAATTCCCGGCTCAGTGCATTTCTTCCGTATTCACTGTGAGCTGATTCAATAAACAGTCCTCCTGTGGTCGGTAAAGTTTGGAATCTTAAATTTGGATATCTGTCAATGCCTGAAGATGATCATATTAATTTTTGTTTTTTTACAAACTATCATCAACATCTGTAGAAGACATTCAAGCTTTGACTACCTTTGACCTTCACTACACACTGACATTTTAAAATGAGTAAAGTTTGTATACCATGGAGATATTCCGTTTGAATAAAGAGCATTTCAGGGGTATGCATTTACATGATTCTTTTCAGTCAGCCACCTGAAACTAACGTTACACATACCAAGAGCCAGTTTGTTTCTCCTAAAAGTCATCACCTAAATAAAATCTGTTCGTTTCTGAGCCATGTCCCCAGTGCCAAGGCCCCAGCCCCTTTTGGGGACAAGTACAGTGCTTTCACATACTGTACGTTAACATGAGAACCTGCAGTAAAAATAACAACAACCGTACTTGAAACCAAAGCTTTCACTGTGTGATTTAATTAAAGTTAACTTGAGAGTTGCTAACAGCTAACAGTAACATAGCAGCAGTAGCAAGCTAAACATCCTACTGAATCTCAGCCCAGATCATACGGTTGGTTATTTACAGACAACACTTACCCTAACGCTACCTGCTGATTCAAGTATGTATAAATGTCTGGATAAGCAATGTCTGCCCACTGTGTTGGACGGGGGAAGAGCAAAGGAGGATCTTTTTTACTTAGGTATCACAAATGCTCAGGTTGAGGCAAGGTGTCTATAGATGTCTCCATAAAACAAAGATTATTTAATATGAAAGGAAGGTGTACGAACTTGTCATAACTCTAATCCAAAAACATGTCAAATTGCACTGGTTCTCTATCCCTCAAAAGGGGGTGCGGTCATGATATTTTGCAAAGTACCCTTATGTGATGTCTGATGTATACTTAAACTGAGTCAGAAGGGGGGGGGGGGGAATTTATTCCAATACAATTACTAATTACCTGTTAAAAAATGTAGTCAGTAACCTAATCCAAGTATCACAATATTAAAGTAACCTAACTTCATTATTTTCTGTTTTGTTTCTTTAAGATGATGCCTATTCTATAAAATAACTGAACAATGTAACCGTAGAAAAGAAAACTGGGACCAAGATTGTTAGGATCAAGAAAAAATTGCTTTTCATGAAGCAAGTTCAGGAAGTAACCGTTCAAAACCTAATTCAAGTCAAAGTCAAAATAATGGCTATATGAAGAATGAATTGGCAGCTTTAAGATTAGCTGTGGATTCACTGGAGACCAGAATGGTGTTTTAAACCTGTAATTCTGCTAATAATCCCTATTTTTACTAATTGTAACTGTCTGATTACGTCTTTCTATATGTAACACTAATGGATTTTGATTATGGAACTTGACATGTAATCTGTTACTTCATAAGCCTGTAGACATGCGGAGTCAGGTTGAGTTCAGTACAACTAATTTACACCAACATACTGCAATGTCTCTGGTTGGTTTGCTACTACCACTATGGAATAAAAGCCATGCCAAACAAACAATCGAAAACAGGCATCACAGGGGTTAACCTTACCTGCACGGCAAAGGTCCCCACAACGATGGAGCAGAAGATGGGGTTGGAAAATATTCCGTCAAATACATTTCTCTCTCCGTGGATCTTGCGAGCGTTGATCTCGTTGAAAAGCTGCATGAGGACAAAGGTGTTGAAGATGATGGTGTAGTGCTCGGAGGGTGGGGAGTGGAGTGGAGCGTTGCGGCCGCTGTCAATGTTAAAAATGCGCTCGCCTGGAGGGTAAAGAAAGGAGGAAGAAGAGTAGATGAGAGGTGTGAAAAAAGGAAACTTTATCTGCCGTGTTGCTCATTATTTGGTTGAAATTCCAGACTAAATGTATTGATTAAAGCCAACTATTTCAGGCTGTTTCAATAGTAGATGAAATTGCGTGCTCAATGTGTCAATGTGTTTGTGTGTGTGTGTGTGTGTGTGTGTGTGTGTGTGTGTGTGTGTGTGTGTGTGTGTGCACCTATGAACAGCAGGGTGAAGATGATGACCAGCTGGTACACTCCATGGCCCAGGATGTTCTTCATCATGGTCAGTGAGATGAGCGGGTTGTTCCGGCCATAGGGTTTCCTTAGCAACAGGGCCTCGGTGGGGGGCTCGGTGGCCAGGGCCAGAGAAGCAAACGTGTCCATGATCAGATTCACCCACAGCATCTGCACCGCCTTCAGAGGAGAGTCCTGCACACAGATTTGCAAGCAGAGGCCTGTGTCACGAACCATGTTTGGATGAGTCTGGCTTCACTGACCCAGACACAGACTGTGAAAAGACTACTTCCGTCCCCTTTCACATCACCCAGAATCCCAACATTAACACTTGTTTTTGTATTTTGGGGTTTTATTTCTGTTGCACAGGGTTCTGATCTTCCTAGTTGTTCTTCTTGTGCAGATTATCTGCTCAATCAGTGACATTCAAAACCACTAAGCAGTGAGGAACTTTCCAGTGCCAAGTAAGTAGTATAAGATAGGAAAATGGGAAAAACACCCCTTACTCGGACGTGGCAGTGATATTCCAAGGTGGTTAGCCTTAATGCTATCCTCATTCACAGCAGATAAACAGCTTAAATTTGCTATTTTTTTATCGTGTTATGGGTCTGTAGCAGTTCATAGTTGTAGATTTGATTTTGATGATTTTGAGGATGACTTGAACAGTTTCTCGTACTCTGCTGCTTGTAATTATGGTTTAAGGTGAGACACTACAGGCAAAAACATAGTTTTTCATAAATTGGTCAATTTTGACCTTAATATGTCTTCTTGCAGACTAGCGGAGAGAAAACACCCAAAATACACATTTAGGGGTTTACTATATTTTGCCTATTTGCATCTGTAGATCTCAAAAGTTAGCATTAGATAATGACTCATATTTAAACAAAAAATTCTGAAAACTTGTCATACAAAAATAATTGTCTTGTAAATAATCAGAACAGGAATCATAACAATAACCTGAATATTAGATAAAGCCACATCAAAATTCTTGTTTCATATTGTTGACATGTTAGACTCAGAGGTTTTTACAGAGGGAATTCGTGATGTCCCTTTTTATCACTCAATAAATCGGAAGATACTATCAACAGCCATAAAAAATAAGTTTTTTAGTAACAAAATAATGAATAAAACAGGCTATGAATGATATATGAAGAAACCCCTCAGTAAAAACCTTAAGAATATAGATATATGTAAGTGCTACTGAAGTGGAGATTTATGAGATATTGGTAATAAAAATCATTTTGAGAAAATGGCCTTTAAAGATATGTATTGGTTAATTCATTACAGGTTAATAGGGTAAAACATTAAACAGACATCCCCATGAAACTTCCCCAGTTGATTACTTACATTAAGACACATTACAAGTTTTCTGAATTTTATCTTTAAATAAGCATATTATGCATTATCTATTGCAAATTTTTGGTGAATTTACGCAAATAGATAAAGTGTATGTATTTTGGGCATTTTTTTTTCCACTACTCAGAAAGACAACGTTATTGAAGCAAAGTAGCCCAAAATATCAAGATTTACAATGAAAAAACTATGCTTTTGCCTGTAGTGTCTCACCTCAACTCTCGTTCAATAAAAATATATTGCAAACAATATTATTATTAATAATGAGAGTTCATATTTTTTGCATATCAAAAATGTAATGGTTTCTATGTGTCAGGAGGCTTATGTTAGCTTCCAGTAAAAATACAAAAATAGCATCTGATTTGCTTTCTCTTCTTGCAGATATAGGCTGACTGATGTTTACAGAAGACATCTGTGTGTCTGTTATGTGTGTGTGTGTGTGTGTGTGTGTGTGTGTGTGTGTGTGTGTGTGTGTGTAGGAATAGACAGCATGTATGTTTATTAATAAATGTGTCTACCTGAGTGATGCAGGCCCCGGTGAAGGCCACTATGACAGCCACTACGTTGACCGTGAGTTGGAACTGCAGGAACTTGGAGATGCTATCGTAAACATTTCGTCCCCACATCACCGCCTTGACAATGCTGCTGAAGTTGTCGTCGGTCAGGATGATGTCAGATGCCTCTTTAGCCACGTCTGTCCCCGCAATACCCTGGCACAGATTGAGACAGAGTGAGGAGGAGACAGAGACTCGTGGCATGATTCATGCGAGCATTCAAGCATCCGCATTATTTTGAAGTGCTTCTGTCTCAGTATCGTGTTGTCCTGCCTCCAAGTGCAAATACTGGCCGTGAGTAAGAGCTGTGGCTTGCATTTACCATTTAGAGGAAACTATGCATTTAAACATAGTGGGCCTGGACGAAAATAACCAAGAAAGATAGTCGATTGTCAAATATCATTCCCAGGGCGTCAAATACAGACGCTTAACAATTAGTTATCTTCAAGCCAAGTGTCCTTATATTATTCTTGGCTCTGATTGGTTGTTTTTCGTTCAGGCCCGGTGGATTCTTACAAATACCATTAGGAGCACTAGGAGGAGCCAGAGTAACTGTATTTTTTCACAGATTATCTGTCTCACGTTCTACTGTTAGGATATAGAGAACGTTTCAGCAAATATGACAAAAAACGTTACTGTTACCTACTGCAGCTTTAAGGAGCATTTGTTCCCCAAAATGGATAATGGATCTATATACTTCTATGTGATAAGAACAACACATAGAACTATAGCAGAGAAAGATTTGACCACCAAGTAAAAATTAATGGTGAATAATATGTCGGGTTACCATGGCAAAGCCAACATCAGCTTTCTTCAAAGCTGGTCCGTCATTGGTTCCATCTCCCGTTACTGCGACAACCTGCCTCTGTTCTAGGACGGTGCTGTCAATGATGCCTGAAAACAGAAAAAAAAGGTAAGGTATACAGTAAGTGGGTGTGAATGAATGTGTGTGTGCACCCATGTGTTTGAGATTCACCTTTGACCAGAGTGTGTTTGTCAGTTGGCGAGGATCGGGCCAGCACACGGAGTTTGGGCCAGATTTTGTCGATGCGTTCCTGTTCAATCTGTTGGTCAAATGGAGAGAAAAAGAGGGGGAAAGAGTGTGTGATGATGAATTACATGAAGGACCTTTTAACTTTTCTTTTCTTTCACTGTTGATCCAGAGTGTTAGATAGATTTAACTGTACACAGGTGTGAGGGAGGACAAGGCATCACAGACACAGTGAATTTGCTCTCTTCTAATCAATTTACCCACACTGCACTCTTATATAATGACACACAGCATTTTAGAGTATAAATTTAAATTCACACGCCATAGAAAAGCAGAGCCACCTCACTAACGAGCAGCTATCCATCCTATTAAAGGTTATATAAGTTATTATTTAAAACATTAATATACCAGCAAATAACTATTAGCCATGTAAAGATACAGTGGAGTCAAGGTGTCAGAATGACGTCATAGTCCCTCTACCTGTGTTGTTATCTCAGCCTCTCTGTGGTTTGTGGTCTGAGTAGATGATCTATGTCAGTGAATTGAGGATTTATTTCAACCAAACCAGAGTTGGTGATTATTGAAACAGTGGGAAGACTGAGTTTCATTTTCTCTCTGTCTACTTTGAATGAAGTAACAATGTTACAATGATATGGAAGGCAAAATTAACGCTTTTGTCTGTGGTGTCTGGTGGTAAGCGAGCAATAGCAATAGCAGTTTCTGGTTAAACAAAAGATCTATCACTGTAAGGATCCTTTCCATAATGTTGTCAGACACTTAGAATAACAAGCTGAGCCTGTCAGTGGCAAAACAACTTTTAGTGGGTGTACTTTAACGGTTTAATGGATGCATTTGTCCACAAGGATAAGCTAACGTTATATGGCAGCCATAGCAGCCCATAAGGCAAATACGCTGCCCGTCCCAAAAAAAAAGTTACCACCTAGATTTAACTAAACTAATTGGTAAGACCCTTCCATTGGATAATTACTGCAGTGATCAATATGTTTCAGCTGGCAACAAGTTATTTAACCCTAGCTGATGCGGTGAGTAGCTGCATCGGTGTGTATGAATGAGTTAGTTTCTGTTGGATGGACTTTGCCATCACTGAGTGAATGTGTGTGAAAAGGGCGAATGTGCCATGTAGTGTAAAAGCGCTTTGAGTGGTCGGAAGACTAGAAAGGCGCTATACAAGTGCAGGTCCATTTACCATTTACCATATCAGAAGACATATCCTGTGGTCGTGGAAAGGATGTTAATCAGTTTCAGAAGGGTCTGCATCAAGCAAAGAAAACAACTAAGTAGATTGCTGAAACTACTAAAATTGGAAGGAAAACCTGGAAGGATAGTGGTGAACCATCCTCTTCGAGGAAGAAATGTGGTCGGAAAAAACTCTTGAATGATTGTGATCGGAGATCGCTTAAACGTTTGGTAAAATCTTATCGTAAGAAATCCACAGTAGAACTCACAGCTATGTTTAATAGTGAAAGTAAGAGCATTTCCACACGCACAATGCAAAGGGAACTCAGGATTGGGACTAAACAGCTGTGTAGCCATAAGAAAACCACTGATCAGTGAGGCTAATCGGAAAGAAAGGCTTCAACTTGCTAGGGAGCATAAAGATTGGACTTTGGAGCAATGGAAGAAGGTCATGTGGTCCGATGAATCCAGATTTACCCTGTTCCAGAGTGATAGGCGCATCAGGGTAAGAAGAGAGGCGAATGAATTGATGCACCCATCATGCCTAGTGCCTACCGTACAAGCCTGTGGGGGGCAGTGTTATGATCTGGGGTTGCTGCAGTTGGTCAGGTCTAGGTTCAGCAACGTTATGTCCCCAAAGAATGAGGTCAGCTGACTACCTGAATATACTGAATGACCAGGTCTTTCCATCTATGGAGTTTTTCTTCCCTAAAGGCACGGGCATATTCCAAGATGACAATGACAGGATTCATTGGGCTCACATTGTGAATGAGTGGTTCAGGGAGCATGAGACATCCTTTTCACACATGGATTGGCCACCACAGAGTCCAGACCTCAGCCCCATTGAGAATCTTTGGGATGTGCTGGAGAAGACTTTGTGCATCAGTGTGACTCTCCCATCATCAATACAAGATCTTGGCGCAAAATGAATGCAACTCTGGACGGAAATAAATGTTGTGACATTGTAGAAGCTTATCAAAATGATGCCCCAGCGCATGCATGCCGTACTCAAAGCTAAAGGCAGTCCAACGAAATATTACAGTGTGCAACTTTTTTTTGGGACGGGCAGTGTATTGCACATCCAACTTAGTGAAGGGTTTATTTGGACCAAACTAGTGTTAGTGAGTAGTAAGGTTTATTTTGTTTCTGTCCAGTTTGAAGTATGGTATTAGATTAACTGCTTGCTAAAATTACTGGATTTGTCAATGGAGTCTGGTTGGCCTTTCGCCCATTGTTTTGCTCTAAGATGCTGGGGCTGTAGTGTGACATCTAGTGGTGAGTGAGTTTTGTTATATATACACAAAAGTCACTTACCATCAATCAGTTCAATTGATAATATTAAATTACTTAGATCGCTTGTTCTCAAACTATGGTACATATTCCACTGATGGTATGTTAACTCTCTCTAGTGGTACGCAGAAAATCTATTTTTTTAAATTAATTTTAAAATGAAACATATAATACTATCAAAATACTACAAAATTTCAAATTCAAATACTTAAACTAGAGCAATACAAGTTAAATTGAATCTCAAACCATTAGATTACATTTTCATCAGTGAAATACAATTTCCAATTTGCATACAATATTCTGTATGAACATTTTAAATTCAAAACTATTCAATTCATTTTCAGTTTGTGCTGGCACTAAAATAACTCTATAGACATAGACCTAAATGTATCAGCATTTACCAGTACACGTTAATCTGACTGACAGTAGATATTAAAGGCTAGAAGAAACCAGTGATGTCAGTGGGATGGTCAGATGCTCCTCCCACCATAGATATATTGTTAACATCCATTTTTAGTTCATTTTAAATGAAACAGAAATAGAAAACATGAGTTCACCCTGCACTTAACCCACAAGATTGCCCAACTCACCTCTCCTTTCTCGTTCCTGATTCGTCGGTTGAAGTCTTTGCCCTCTATACAGATAAAGTCATCCCCAGGGTGGATGATGCCGCATTTAGCAGCAATGGCCCTGGCTGTGTTAATGTTATCGCCGGTCACCATCCGCACTGTGATGCCCGCACGCTGACACTTACGGATGGCATCAGGCACCTGAGAGGCACAGGGAAATACTTTTAAATAATCACATATTTTGGATGGCACACACTCACAGTATCATCTAAAACTAAAGACATACACACTCCACAGTGCCCTACCTCAGGCCGCACAGGGTCCTCTATCCCAACCACAGTGATGCAGGTCAACTCTGTCACTATTTCTGCCTCGTTTTCCCAGTCTGGCTCCGGATTGGATGGCAGGTCACGGTATGCGATGCAGATGGTCCTCAGCCCCTCGCATGCCATTGGCTCAATCACCTATTGATCAATCAATATTACAACTATGGTCAGGATGAGGTCCATAAAATCTCACAACACAGACTGTTAAGCTTAATGTATACAAAAATGACATTTACATTCCAGTATCTGATGCATAAAAACTGGATTCAATAGCTTGCAAACAGGTCTGGAAATTACTTCCAAGTGCTTCACTGCAAAAAAGGAGTCTCACATTTTCTGGAAAATTTGTCAGATTTTTGTCTAAAAATATAAATCATCTTTTTTTTAAAAAAAGGTATTTTAAGAGAGGGGGTGACATGCAGCAAAGGGCCGCAGGTCGGATTCGAACCTGGGCCGCTGCAGCAAGGACTTAGCCTTGGTACACTGGACGCCAGCTCTACCAACTGAGCTAAAAATTGGCCACATTTTTGCTCAATACAAGAAGATTTTATTATACTGTTAGATAGGGCTGTTTTTGCAGAAAAAATCTTGAAAGGGTTTGGATTTACCGAGCAACAAAGAAGTCCTTAAAAGTGCTTTGATTTAACATACCAGTCTCTCTGAGTTGAATCTTCCAATAATGGGAAATTTATATTATTATAAATGATCTAGATAATTAAATTACAGCTGATGAGGAATTAACAAATTAAGTTTCTTATTGAGCTTCATCCATCCTTGCTCACTTCATCTCAGCCTTTGTATGTAAAAAAAAGTTACGAACTTCTTTGTAAAATACAAAAATGTGAAAATATCGTTATCTTATTGGTTTTGACTATGAGAAGCAGGAAATTATTGGTTGTTGTTTTGGCTGAAAAAAAATCTATATTGTGCATCCCTACCCCAAACCCTTTCTTTTTCTCATGTGGACCCTAACTCATTCATGGTTCCTTCCCATTTTCCTGCCGCCAGACAACACTGTCCATCTCCAAACTCCTCCATCCATCCATCCACGACCACTAATTCTGCTCCCATCCCTTCATCCCTCGACCCCCAAGCCTTACTCTTCATCCCTAATTATTCATCCCTCAACCCTCTCCCCATCCCTTCATCCTACAACCATTCTAATTCCATATCCTCACTGGTGTGGTCTTTGTTGGTGAATTTGTCCTTGAGAAGTCCTTGAAATGTACCATTACAAAAGAGTGCTCTCTGAGAGAGCTGTAGGGAAAAGACCCCCAGCCTGCTGCAGACAGACAGAGGGAAGACAATATGATGGAAAGAAGAGGTGGCATGAAGCTGCCACAGTGCAAACTCAACAACTGAGCTGGAATAAAGTAGTGTAAGGAGGCAAGTTATTTGTCTCAGGGCACAAGCTGTGTGTTCATCATGCAGTCAGCCTGTCAGTCAGGGAAAAATGCTTGCTCAGCCCGCATAGGCTAATCTAGTGTGTGTGGAACAAATACATGTGTGTTGCTGCTAAATATTTCACTTACAACAAGACTGATCTGAAAGCAGTTTTATGTATAACAGACTTGGAATGTATATAAGCCTGCCAATACTGATGCCAAGTTTTTCACATTCTGTTCAGTAATGTTTATGGTGTTTAGTGTGACTGCAACTGTTGTTGCTTGTCTATAATGTGTGAAAGACACTTTTTCTGGAGGATTTGTAGGAATTGGTAGTCTCATGACAATATTGTGAGTGAGTGATTTTTGGTGGCTTGTAATGCCTGTTTTGATAGGACAGGTGAAGATTGACAGGAAAAGGAGGAGAGAGGGGACGACATGCAGCAAAGGGTTGCAGGTTGGAATCGAACCCGGGCCGCTGTGGTGAGGACTTATGCATATCAGAGCTTTAAGTCTCACCTGTTTGACCATCTCATCCCTGTCACGTGGGCGGAAGCTGCGTGGTTCTCCGTTGGCATCTAGGATGTAGGAACACCTGGAGGAAGAAAATAGTGAGAGATACATCTTTTGTCTGTCTCTTGCATCCAGACCTTTACCCCCCTAAACTATTTTTGCCTCCATTCATTTACATGACCTCCCACGTCCTCCTCCGTCACTCACTTCTTCAGCATGATCTCAGAGGCTCCTTTGCAGTAGAGGCGGAAGGAACCGTCAGGCAGCTTGATCACTGTACTCATGGATTTACGCACTGAGTTGAACGTATACACCTGAGAAAGAGAGAGAGGGAAGGACAGATGTATGATTCAGGAGAGTAAAACAAGGGGCAGACAGACATATCCCTGACTAGAAACCCAGCTCTGAGAGTTAACACCTGCATCAGTGTCATAAACAATGATGTTGGCTGGCCATCCTCGCAGGATGTAAAATCATTGTAAAGCAATTGATTGAATGATGAACTGATTTGCATTCTAATGGATCTGTACTTCATTAGCATGGCTGTACACCAGTGATTCCCAACCACCCCAGGGGGTACGTCTACAGTTGCCATGGGGTACGTTGATTTACTGAATTTTTTCTGCACATATAAAAACCAGGGTACATTGCATCTCTTTGGGATCAGCCCTTAAGGCTTTCACATATGGTTTGCACTTTACCTGGTGAGCAACCAAGGCACCCCAAGTGTGCAAAAACATTTCCCTTAAAATAACTGATAAATGGTCAAAATAGCCAACAAAAGTCAGTTAAAAAATATATAGATGATTGATGAAAATTGATAAATGGTTGAAATAGACAAGAGGACTGTATAAATAGTTGAAAAGGTTATCTAAAAATTGATAAATGGTTGACACATCTAGCTTAAATATAAATATTATATATATATATATATATATATATATATATATATATATATATATATATATATTGTAATAATATCCCCCCATATGGTCAATAGCGTTTATTAACATCCAGTTTAACATCAATTCAAATGAACACCATGGCTGGTGGCGTTGATGAAGGTCTGACAGGACAGTGGGAGTATGTCTGAACAAAAGGTTGAGAAGCACTGCTGTAAAGTTGTTCCTTTCTTATAGATTTTTGAGCATGAAACTCTGTGAAGAATTTGTTCCTGTACAATTACAGGGAAGTTGTGCTGATACGGTTGGTCCCTCCCTTCAAAAAATTTTTAAAAAATAAACCCAGTTTTTGTGGTTCTTTATAAAAAAAAAAAAACAAAAATTAATAAAAAAAAAAATTTTTAAAAAAAAAAAATAAAAAATAAAAAAAAAAAAAAAATTTTTAATTTTTTTTTTAAAATTTTTTTTTTTTTTTTTTTTTATTCATGTATTCATTCACGTATACTGGGAAATATGAATGAAGTGTGTATATCAAAGAAATATCAATATATTGTTTATATTGTATTGTATTGTAGGTTGTATAAGGGGGACAAATATCAAGCCACCTTACATATGAATATGTATATAAACAAAGAATCATGGGGCAAACAAGATGATGCAAATACAAAAAGATACATAAGTTGAAATAAACTGTGAAAGAACCTTCCGTTAAAGCTGCAGTAGGTAACTTTTATAGCTCTATAAATAAACTATAACTTGTGAAGGTGGATGTGGTGCATGGTTTCCTACCTTGTACAGTCTCTCCTCAGGGATCTGCTCTCTGACAGGGGCGTAGTCCTGCTGTAGGTCCAATACAAATCCCAGCAGGCCACACTCCGTCTTGTTGCCCACCTGCTTAGCCAGACCCCCCTCCACATCAGGCGGCTGATAGGGAGTAAGATTGAAGCAAGTTGGTAGATTAGAGAGGGTCGTGATAAAGTCAGGGAGGAGGACAGAGAGGGAGACAGAACATGAAAAAAGGATGACATTAAAACAAAGGCACGAACATTGACTGACATTAACAAAGGACTATGGAGGGTTAAAGCCAGATAAAACCAGAAAATTACTTTCTGCAAAACAGTGGCATCTCTGTCTGTGTATGACTCACTAAGATCTTGGAGGTGTAGGCACTGTTGATAGCAATAGCATTGACTAATAGATCCAGTGTCCGGGGGTTGATCTGTCCAGGGTCCGGGATCACACGGTGGGGCACGTCACCTGGGCAACAACAGTCTAACTTTAATACACATAAGTTATAATCTCTGTACATTCAGCCTTCATGCAGCCTATCTCCAGACAGATCCAGTGCCAATGGAGAGGGATTCTCTACAATTAATAAAGACTGCACAAACTCAACCTCAACAATTTGGCAACCACTGATCTAATCATAGTAAAATAAAAATTGGGCCACATGATTACCTTATGACCCTTCTTATGCTGCCATTTTTCTTAACAATCTTAGCATTACATTGTGTTTTCATTATGGTGGATCACAGACAGCACAAGTTGTTTTTCACTCACCTATGTAACTCTGCACCACAGTCATGCGATTGGTTGTGAGGGTGCCGGTCTTGTCGGAGCAGATGGCCGTGGCGTTGCCCATGGTCTCGCACGCATCCAGGTGGCGTACAAGGTTGTTGTCCTTCATCATTTTCTACATATGAGATAGCGCCGGAGAACAGAGGGATGTTTAAGGGGGTGGTGTGAATGATAATGGATAGAGGAAGGGCAGAGGAAAGAGGAAGAGCAATTAATTGACAGAAGGAAGGAGAGAAGGAGACGGAGAAAAATCACTAACTTTTCATTTAATAAAAATTCCAGGGCAGATAAAATAGGGTTTATTTAAGATATTTTTGAAGAAAACATTGCAGTGCACATAACTTGTGCAAAGGCTGACATTGACCTTGTGAGAGTAAATAATGGTAATTATTGTAGGCTAAAATGGTGCAACCAGCCACTTACTTAAACAACAAATCACTTTGTGATATACAATATATTTTCATTGAAGACTGAAAATTAAAATTACGAAAATGGATTCATAAACTACTCCATACAGTACTTCCACTGAAATCAGTGAGCACACTTTCAAGATTCTGACACTGAAGAATCTGAATGCCATTTGTTTAGTAACTGATTCCAACAAGATTTCAGTTCTATCACATTTAAGTGCTGCTTTTGACACAATTGACCATATCTTCTTGGGTCCTCTTCTATTAACATTTACATGTGTTGTTTAGGTCTCTTATTAAAAACACTATACTTAGTATACAAAACAACAACATCAACTATCATAATTACGACACCCAAATTTACCTTGCCTTGTCACTAAGCGACTACAGTCCCACAGATTCTCTCTGCAAGATACTGTTTATATTACATAAGTTTGAATTATTTAATTATTACATGCCTCCTTCGCCAGTATTTACTCCTTAACCATTTTCCCAGTGTGGTCTTTGTGCACATTGTTACATTAGTTCATATCCATTACATCCAGCAGCTCCTACATTACTATTTGCTAAATATTGTGGGTCAGTGTGGGTCTACCTTGACAGAGTAAGCCAGAGAGATGGTGACAGCGAGCGGTAAGCCCTCTGGGACAGCCACTACCAACACAGTGACTCCAATGATGAAGAACTTGACAAAGTACTGGACGTAGACCGGAGTACACTCTGGCAACCATGTGTGACCTGCAACAACAAACCATACTACATATTAAGACCCAACAACTAGTCCACTTTAAAGAGTGAGTCATACTCAGCAGAGTGGTAAACAAGTGATAGGGGTGCATTCTGAGATAGTATGTGTGTTTGTTGGGTAGCTATACACACACACACACACACACAGACCTTCAACGACAAACGTGTTGATGACAAAATACAGCACCAGGATGATGACGGTGATGGCCGACATCACCAAACCTGTGGGGAAATTCAAAGAAGGGAATATTTACCAGTGTGTCACTTTGTTCAGTCTGTTCTGACTTTTTCAGTATTTTTTTATTTCAGGTCTCAAGCACGCAGTGCTTCATCATTTACTTCACTCCTTTACCTGTGCAATCACATTTTACCAAAGTTTGTAGCACTTGATCATTTCATGAAGCACATCATCTTTTACACGTCTGTCTGTGTAGTAATAAAACAAATAATTCTAACTATGACTATTGGTACCTTACGGCAAAGTTTCACACAACTCCCACAATGCATTTCTTGTATTCATAAAGAACTTATGCTTATGCTATACATCATTGCTACAAAAACTCTGTGGGACCGAACTACCGAACCAACTAATTTTTAGTGTAGAAAGTTCCTAAACGACAGCTGAAAAAGTGTGCCCAATAGATATGACAGTTCTTTACCTGCTTTGCCAATTTGAACAGCCAGTTTGGTGAGCTTGCCCTGCAACACGCTCTTCTCTTTCTTTGGAACATTGGTCTTCTTCTTCTCTCGGTCCTCTACCTCCCCTCCCTCTGCACTCTTCAGCGGTTGCATCTCCATGGCAACACCCCCACCCTGCTTCTTGGCTGAAACACACACACAAAATACACTCTCTTTAGCAATGCACCTGCAGATGAAGTAAGCGCATCGGACATCCAAACCAAGCTTTACACATACACACATGCACATGTCATGAGCTTTTACCTTTGTTCTGATTGTTCTCCACAGCTGCATCAGGCTGTTTTCCTGAGAGAAAGGGAGGGTGGGTTAGACAGAGGTACATATAAAGATAAGGGAACATAAATATATTCATAGTAATTCATATTTTTTTTATTTTTGATTGTACAACAGCCAAAGACACACTTTCAGAAACAGAAAACGACAAAGAACAATACTAAAGGGAAGAGTAATAAAGGTACACACATCTTCAGACACTGGGTCAAGAGACTGAGAGACATTTTTATATGTATAAGTCCATCATAGGGCACTGTCACTTTCACTGCACCGTGTACTGGGGTCCATTCATTGGCTGAGGAAAGGAGCGGGGCAGGGCAGACAACTTTATGCTCACATACCATTGGTGACTGTGCTGTAACTGGCATCTGTAGAGATGAGCAACTGAGTACTGTCCTCTGTTTGGGGAATGTGTGAGGAAGGAAGGTTTTGGGGGCACATGAGAGGATTTGGCAAAAAGGGAAAACAAAAGAGAGCAAATAGGGAAGAATAAAAAATGTGTTTGTACGCACGGCTATACTAGCAGAATATTTGTAGATATAGAATGAATGAAAAAAAAAATGAATATAACCTCAATCTCAAAATGAGAGACAGATCAAAGTGAACAGCCCCATAGCAAACCCACATTGCATAAGGAAAAACTAACAAGTTATGGCATATGTAGAAGTCTTATGAATAATGTATTAGCTCCAGTAAATGACTGTCTGAATGATCCAGCCCACAGAGGCTGCTCGGAGTGCAATACATCCTAGTGCACAACTAACACTTTGGATACAGAATGAGGACAACAGGCGATAAGAGTATTTTTTCATAAAGTAAGCATCATCAACTAATTTGTTGCTGTCCATTTTTCTGCATCACAGGATGCTGCAGATGTTTTCTCCTTTTCAAGATGACAACAATGCTACACAATTCCCATGCAGAAGTGAGAACTGCAGTGGTAGAGGCATGGATGAGTGCACTGGTAATGATATCAACCTTAAGTGCTTCTGAAAGTATGTGTAGCCTCTGTTGTTGTATGGAGCTCTGCTCTGACTGCAGGGCCCTTCCAAAACAAATTTGAGCATAGACTAATGCTTCATGCGTTGACCAACCAACACTCTTCCCTGAAACTCTCCAGCTCCCTCGCTCTCCCTTGCTTTTTCAATAATTGATTCAATCTGCAGCCTCTCTCTCTCAGATTAAGGGGGGAAGGAGAAACAGGGGAGAGCAAAGGGAAAGATAGGAAAGTAAAAGAGGGCACAGGCATGGGGTAAACAAGACACGAAGTGAGAGAAAAAGAGAGAGATGGGAAACAGGGAGTGGAGAGAGGGATGGAGAGGATGTGGGCTAAATTATCAATGAGGTTAAACTGGTGTGTTTCCTGTTGAAGCTCTTATCTGAAATCAGTTAGACACCCAACTAACTACACAATAGAAGCAAGGCAAGAAAGAGACACAAAACTACTACTATGAGTCGTTTGTAGTTTGTAGCCTCTTTGTGATCATTCTGTGTCTCTTCATGGTCACAATGATTCTCTTTATGGACATTTTGTGTCTCTTTGTGATTGTTTTGCATCTCTATGTGGTCATTTTCATCAATTTATGGTCATATTGCCTCTCTTTATACTAAATTTCCATCTTTCTGGATTCATTTTGCGTCTCTTTGTACTCATTTTTTAATGTATGTAGATTCATCATCGTCTCTTCGTGGTCCATACATGCATGTCTTTGTAGCGTTTTTTTTTTATCTCTCTATAATGATTGTCACTTTGTAGTTGTTTTGTGTCTCTTTGTGGTCGTTTTGTGTCTCTTTGTGGTCCTTTAGTGTCTGTTAGTGGTCATTTTGATTTCTTTGTAGTTGTTTTGTGTCAGTGGTCGTTTTGTGTCACTTTCACATCTATTTGAGCTTGCTACGTGTCTTTTTCTGGTCACTTTGTATCTCTTTGTGGTAGTTTGGCATCTCTTTGCAGTAACTTGATTGACATTCCAACAAGAAATATAAATGGTCACTTCAAGCAGCAGCTGTACCCCTGAACCCATGGGAGCCTGGGCCTGTGCCCAGTAGGCAGGGTCAGTAATCCATCCGTGTGTGAGTACATGTTTATTGACTTGAGGGCAGTTTGAAGTATTCATCCATGGAGAGTGATGGATGAGAGAGACTGTCGTCTTTCCTGGGTTTTGTCAGAATCTTTACTTCCTTTACTTTGCACATTTCAATAACAAAACTATCTGCTTTTGTGCATCACTAAATATTCTGTTCATCTTACTATAATGGCAAAATCTTATATCTAAATATTTCTCTTATTCCAGTCCAAAACACCATTCTCCTGTAACTTTAGTGACTTTCCACTACTTTCCTCTCTTTCACTTACCTTTCTTCTCCTTCCCATCTTCCTCAATCTCTCCAGCACCCAACAAGGTGAAGATGATGCCCGTCTGCGAGTTGACACCTACAGCTGTCACCAGCATCCTGCCCGAGCCCTCCATCACATGGGTACCTTAACGTCCAAACAGATTTAGATTAAATCGAGAGACCAGTGGTGCTTGCAAAGCGGTCACAGATATGAAACAACAACTTGTGATCTTGCAAATGTTTGTAAGGTTCTTTCTCAATGTGAAAAAAGACATTTACACTGAATCCTTTGAAAGATGCTAAAATGCTTCGTACAGCTGAGGGTAACTAAGAAAGAAAGAAATAACTGTCCCCTAAAGTTCGGCCTAGCCAATAATTAAACGATTAAAACATTTAAGAAAGCATACATTTTAACACTGTTCATGATTTAATTACAGTGTTTCTATGATTGACTGATTGATTGAAGTGTCCCGCACCAAATGGTGGAACAACCACGACAATGTTGACATATTCAAGATTTCAAAAGGTCCACTTTACATAACATAATTTTTTTTTATGAAGGATACAAAGCACTCTGTCTTAACCAGCATGCCTTTTCTATAAATCTCACTATTTGACATTACCATGTGCATTTATACACATGGGCAGCATTTATATGAACTATTATGGCATTAAAAAGGTTGTCTTATGTGCAAATATTTGCAAGGAAGGAGCATCATTGAGAGACATATATCATATAACACCTGAGAGTAATGTAGTTTGTGTAGCATTAAATACTGCTACTTTATCCACCCCTTGTACATACAGGACAACATTTTGCCTAAAAGGCTACAACTGATTTGAACCAAGAACTGTCTGACAGAGCCCCAACAAAACTTTTACATTTTCAGCTTAACAAAAGTAGTATTTATTCCACTCCAAATTGTATTTTATTTTATTGCATTGTCAGGTGTTTCTGTTATTTTTCTACTCAACCTAACTCAGAAAGTTGCTCCAGGATTTAAGCAGATAGCCTATATGATGTTTCAAGAATAATTAGACTGGATTTATTCTGTTCACAAAATGTGTGCCACGATAAGAGGGTTGCAGCAATATACCATGGTAAGAAAACTGACGGTTATCCTACCAAGAACATTTGCTTATCTACAGTATTGAACATGCTAGTGTTGAAAACATTTTTTAATTCTATCCTATTACTTTGTATTAGCATAAAAAAAAAAATAGGACATAAGGTTTTGGGAAATTATAATAAAGCTTTTGTTCAACCAAAGAGACCCTTCTGTCTCATTCCTTTAAGGGACATTGTAACTGGGGCTGTGAAATGGCAAGAATCTGATGATATGATACGTATCACGATACATGGGTTACAATTCAATACATTGCTATATATTGCGATACTGTAAGCAAGGAAAACTAGAAACAAAGAAAACTGGAAAAAAAAATTGAGACATATATACACAGACATTAGATATTTAGATCTTTGCCTTAAAAGTTCCCATTCTGTTGTATTGTGTATGCCAGTTTTTAATTTCCCCCAGTAGTTTATAAAAGACAACCATTGTTGTCCCGCTTATCTTTTGCAGGGTCGCGGGGGTGAGAGGCAGGGTATACCCTGGATAGGTAACCAGTCAATCACGAACACAATCAGACAAACATTCACGCTCACATTCACCCATTAGACAATTCTGAGTCACCAGTTAACCTAACCTGCATGTCTTTGGACTGTGGGAGGAAGTACTTGGAGAAAAACAACACAGGCAAAGGGAAAACATGCACACTACCCACAGAAAGGCCCCAGCCAGCCAGGCCACCGCTCGAACCCAGATATTTGTGACAGTGATGGTGTGCAGATAACCACTGCTTCACCATGCCGCCAGAGCAAAGACCAAAATGTGAAAACAAACCTGAGAGCAGCATGGGGTCCTTATCCACAGACTTGCGTACGTGGTCAGACTCTCCTGTGAGAGAGCTCTCATCTATCTTCAGGTCGTTGGCTTGGACCAAGATACCATCAGCTGGCAGCAGGTCCCCTGAACACAGACGTGCACAGATCAGTGTTTGCTTCACCCTGCAGTTTCTGTCTTTTTCTGGTTAGGGACATGTCAATGCATGGGGGCCTAACAGGGACATTTATCTATCAGTATCTCTTTTGGACATATTAAGTAATCCATGCTACTACATGTTACAGAAACAAGCAGTACAGGTATAACAGTCAACACTGTGGGGAAAGGGCTTATGAGGCTTATCAAAGTGCTTGCTTGCTAAGAGCTAGATGAGAGGATCGATACCACTGTTATGTCTGTGCACTTAATGTTAAGTTATGTACAGCCAGGAGGTGATTAGCGTAGCTTAGCATAAAGACTGGAAGCAGGGGAAAACAGCTAGCCTGGCTCTGTTCAAAGGTTAAAAAAATGTACCTATCAACACCTATAAATTTGATTAATTAAGACATATCTTGTCCATTCAATACATACTTAACTCACTGTAAAACCACAATTTGTCATTTTTAATCTGTTTGTGCACAGATTAAAAATAGTTTATTGGTAAAATGTAGAGGTTTTAGTAAGCTGATTTTGTTACCTTTGGACAGAGTAAGCCAAGCTGTTTCCCTCTGCTTCCAGTCATTATGCTAAGATAATCGTCTGCTGGCTCTAGCTTAATATTTAGCAAGAGTGGTATTGACCTTCTGATCTATCTCCCAGCAACAAAGCAAATAAGCCTATTTCCCAAAATGTCAAACAATTTATTTTAGGACATGTAGCAAGTATGCAAGTTTGGCGAATTACAATTTTGTATGGTATTACAGTTTGAAAAAGAGTTGACTTAATTTTAAAACTTATTTTTTTCCTACACATATAGGCTAACCCCAGTTTTACCATTTTTACTTAAGGGTGAGTAATCGAATGAATGTCCAACCATAGACTGTAAAATTAAGCCGTTAAGCTCAGTGGGGTCCTCTCTGGCCATCGCCATTCGGCAGTCTTGGCTAAACCAAAAATGGCAGGCTTTATGGAGATTGACTCACTTATGGAGCCAGCCTCAAGTGGCCATGTAAGAAACTGCAATCTTTGTTACTACCGTGTTGGCTTCATTTGCCAGACACAGAGGCTGAGGCTTGTTAAAAACACTCTCAGTTCACTTTAAGAAATGTAATTTATGTTGGCAGAGTTTCTGTTGGAGACATTTGTTAAAATATTTATACAAACATATTCCTCATGATTATCATTTGCAGTTAGTTAGTAGTTTCAACTGTATAGATTTGCTTTCTCTTGAGTATTCCACTGCTTGTCAGAAAAACTCAGATCAGTTTTGCTTCTCATAGCTTGTTATGGGCATTAAACAGGGTGTACAATTAATCATTCAATTTGAAAAAAGAGAGAGTTACTGTTTTTTTTATACAGTAAGCATGTGAGGGTCTCTTTACCATATTTGACCTGGGCCATGTCCCCCACCACCATGTCAGCTACAGGGATCTGGATGACGTTTCCTTTCCGCACAACCGTGAACTTCTGTTCTTGCTCAATCCGACTCTGTAGACCGCGGAATTGCTTCTCTTTGGACCAGTCATTAAAAGCCGTAACCAAGACGACACACACGACAGACAGCAGGATGGCTGCGCCTTCAATCCAGCCGGTGTCACCCTCCTCTTCATCCTCTCCCCCCGACACGTCCCCACATGCTGAAGAAAGGGGAATGGAGGGGTGGTTGGTTAGATATTTTCTTAGCCTATCATGTTAACATGCTATTATGACCAAATAACCAAATAGCATTTAACATGCCTAGGGTTAGGGTTCACTGCAGGGTTTTTGCAGGTTAAATGACTTTTTAAGACCACTATGAAAGCAATTTAAAACCTATTTTATGTGTATACTGCCAAAAAAGGGTACGAAGTATATGAAGGAAAATTGGTATTGATTCAATGTATGTTTAATTTTGTTGTTACAGCTTGATCAATACAAATGTTTCCCAGAAACACATTTAAAAGCGAGAGTGAAAAATTTTACCTGTCAAAATAATATTTATGACATTTTAAGCCCTAAAATTCAAATTATTAGATTTTAGACTTAGACCCCACGGACACCCTGCAATATCTTTCTCTTAAGTTATTGAATGTAACATGAAAAGCAAAATGAAAGAGGGAGGATGTGCGATTCAGATCAGTAAATAAATGGGTCACCCACCAGCAAAACGTACAGATGACAGATATCAAAACTCCTGATACTTTTGGTGAGCCACAGTAAGACAATTAGGTATGAAGCAAACAATATATTGAGGTTTAAAACTGCAGTGGCTGTGGCCTTTGGCTAAAGAAAGTGTTTGTTATCATTTATTAACATTTACAAATTAAAAATAAAGTTAATGACTACAAATGCTTATATTCCACCATTCTACTTACAGAAAATAATGTGAGGATAGTTTGTGTGCTATTGTTATCTAGGTTGCACTTTGAGGTTTCAGACCTAACCACAGTGTCCTCCATCCTTTTGTTTTGCCCACTTCCTGTATACCTGTGGTAAACAGACCTAGAAAGCTAATGGCAACATTAATCCCTTTTGCTTTTTGTCTCTTCAGCGTTTGTCTGTTATAGGGGTATGCTTTCATTTTGTGCAATTTTCATGTTTGAACCATGAAAACAACAGAGATGATTAGCTTTTCTGATTTACCCAAACAAGAGAATTAACAGAAACAAAACTATAAAAAAAATCGATTAACACCATCTGCAGAATCTAAGATAAGAATCACACTTATTGTTCAAAGCAGACTATTTGTATACATGTCTTGAAGCTGCAGTAGGTAGGTTTACAAAAATAATTTTTGTCATTTTGGCATTTGGAAAAATTCACTGGGCCTGAATGAAAACAACCAATCAGAGGTGAGAAAGATAATTGATTTTTGAGTCTCATTTCCAGGGTGTCAAATACAGAACTTGGGAATGAGACTCAACAAGCTTCCAACCCAAACGATCTTTCTATCTTTCTTGGCTCTGATTGGTTGTTTTCATTCAGACCCGGTGGATTCTTACAAATACCATTAGGAGCACTAGGAGGAGGCGGAGGAACCTGATTTTTTCACAGTTTATCCGTCTCATGTACTACTGTCAGGATACAGTTTCAGTGAATATAAGAAAAGGGTATTTTTATAAAGGTTAGCTACTGCAGCTTTAATGCATGTCTGGAGGGGATCTTTTTAAGTACTTTGATTCTTAAATTTAATTTGACAATCAATATTTTTTTAATCGTGTAAGCCAGATACTGGCATTTGAATGGGAATTCAGCATGAGACTGCATTGTCTGCCACAATGAATCACAAGCTTTGAAAAAACCTGGTTCTTCTCTCTCTTGGCTCTCTGCATTGAGGTGTGCTAAAGAAAGACTTCAAAGGGAGATTGCAGATATTTTGAAATGTAACTCCCTCAACCTTCTTCCCACTGCACTTTCCTCACTTTACTTACCCATGAATCTTTCTCTAAAGCGAGACTATCAAACTTTTAAAAAATGCAATAACACATTCCCCCTCTGACAAATGAAAAGTTGAATTCATAAGTAATGAAAGCAGCAGAAGTGTTGCTCAATTCAATACACTCAGGGACTGCTGCTACAGTATTACTTGGTCTGTTGCTTAACCTAGCTTATGGTGTTAGCCAATATTGGCAAAGTTTAGATAACTGACATTACTAAATAGCTGACTCTTTACTTGTGCTACTGTCACGCTACGGTGAAGCATTTACCATTCACCCAATATTGCCAAATCAAAAGTTAATGAGCAGTAAAATCCATTTTTTAATTAAATACACAGGGGTTTTGTATGGATTTTTTAGTGCCAATACAAATTGAATCTCAATTTATTAGCTGAAATATTCAAACTGAATATTGTATGCAAAATTTGAGATTGAATCTTGTGGTTTCAAATTTTAATTTAATTCATATTGCTCGTATTGAATGTGAGTTTTTCTATTCTAGTCCCCCAGATGAGTGCCTCTAAGTTGAAACTGAATTCGAAAATTGTATTTGAAAACGGAATTCCAAACTGAAATAAAATTTTAATTATGAAATACAATTTCAAATTTTGCATACAATATTGAGTTTAAATTTAGATTCACTTTGTGTTGGCACTAAAATAACTTCATTGTTTTGTTGCTACTTGGTCTGGTATGACCACAAACACTAACCTTAGCAGAACTGATAGACATTGCTGTGTAACTAACATCACTGGGTCAGTTTGCTGATTTTATGACCCTTGAGTGTGAAAGGTCCTTCTTGTAAATGGTAGTTTGACTAAATGATCTTAACTCAAGGCCCAATTACTAGCTTTTTAGCAGTATCTTACGGTCATGAAGAGCCAAAACTGTTTTTCAACCCCTAAATTGACCCTACCTTCCTCCATCCTTCCAAAATGGTAAATAGGAAATGGTCCTGTACTTGTATAGCGCCTTTCTAGTCTTCTGACCACTCAAAGCACACTTACACTACGAAACCAATCTCCCCCCTTCTGCCCCTGTCCTTACATTCACTTTCCTTTCCAGGGGGCTGGTAGAAAGAGAGGCCGAGGGAGATGATGGCAGCGGCCTCCAAGATGATGAGTGTGACGTCCTGTAAGGCCTCCCACACAAGCTCCAGGAAAGTCTTGGCCTTCTTCGGGGGGATGAAGTTTTGGCCGAATGTTTGGCCCCGACGCTCGATGTCTACTGGGTCCCCACTGAGACCTGAGAAAAGGAGACGGAGGAAGAGACAGAGAGAGAAAGAGGTTAAAATAAGAAGGGTTGAGATGTTAGCAAATATGGCTACGTATTGGCAATAGGGATGGGACAATATACAACATTATCGTGTATTGCCATAAAAAAGATTCATAGTGAATTTCTTCCATTTTTCTCCCAGTAAACAAGGGGACATGGGGGAGCCTGCATCTTTTCAGTCATTCCAAAATCCTACGCCTATCACCCATTGTATTATCCCCCCCAAAAAAAGTTCAACTGAATGTGAGGAAACAGTATAGATTCCTAACTAAAGAACTGTCTACAGAGTGTCTTTGAGAATCGGCAAAATATCGGATACAGGATACAAAAACAAAGGATACAAAAAAAAGGTGAATGTGTTCCATTTTTCTTCAAAAATATACTTAGCAGAGGACATATTTGTGATGCTAAAATCTTCTCTTTTCTAAGGTTACATTGTTCCGTGTCTTATAGAAGATGTAAAAAGCATCAGGTCACATTACTTTAATATTGTAATACTTGGATTAGATTACTGACAAAATTTTTTAACAGGTAATTAGAAATTGTATCATAGCATTTTTTTAAAGTATCCTTCCCAACCCTGGCATATCGACATTTTCTTACACCCCTATCTGCAATTGTCTTTCTGTAAAAAAATGAATATCACAAAGAAAAATTCAAATGCCATCTGCACACACAGTGGCACATTCACCCTGCAAATCACTGCTTCATGCTGCTTTACTTAAACAGATTTATTTCATTTAAGTGAGAATTCTGTAAATCAGTAGTGTTCCAGGTTCACTTTATTTCTTTTTTTGTTTTTTACTTTTTATTTGTGCCATACAATTCATACATTCCATCAGTTAGTAAATAGTCATCTTAGCATTTTCTTATATAGCTCTATATGTAAATTCAAAAACCAACAACAGACCACAGAAATAACAAACAAACCAAAAAAAAAAACATACATAGCAATGTTTTAATTTTTTTTTATATGGCTAGTATCCATGCTGACCATACTGTATATCCATAAAAAACTTTTTTTTTGCTGTATTTTTCTGTCACCTTTCCATAATAAATAACTCTTTCACCTTTTGTTGGCATTGTTTTATGTTTGGTGGCAACCCAGGTTCACTTTCATTCATAAAAGTGTAGATTAAGTTCCATATAGCACTCTTTAGCAGGTAGTAGTTTATCACCAGGACACATGCAGACAGTAGACTCTGCAATTACACCCGGGGGGGTGTAATTGCAGAGTCTACTGTCTGCATGTGTCCCCTCCCGCCGCCAAAAAGGCCAAAACCTCCTAGACAATTTTCCCCTATCCAGTAAATACTTTAAAACCCATAAAACGCAGTGAAATACAACAAATTGTGGCTGCCAACTCCAAGTTTACTTTCCTCCCTCCAAACTCTCTCTCATCTCCGGCCTCAACGCAATCAACATCTCCATCCTCATCTTCCTCTTCCCTTCAACCTCAGCCCCAAGTGATTCTGTTTCCATGGTGACCAGGATATCAGGTCCAGGACTTCCTGTCTCTAACAGGTTTCTGCCCAGCAACAGGTGATGTCATTTCTCCAGCGTGCTGGGTTTGGAGCACAGCTTGTTTTTTTTGATTGGCTGTTGGGGAGGGGGGAACAGCAATTTGTATGCTGTGGTTGGCCAAAATCTGTGACTGTCTTTGCCTTGGTTTGCCTGTGTGTGTGTGTGTGTGAGTGACATCCTGGTCCAATGTGATTGCTGCAGGGAGTCATGTAGCTCCCGGCGTTGCTCAAGAGTTGTGTAGCAATACAACACTCAACAGGGTTCAGGCCAAGGCAAGGCAGAGAGAGACAGGGAGAGAGAGGAAACAGGTGACCTTATGCTGAGTAATCGTAGCGAGCTGCATCCTCCTTCCATTAGTCCATCCCTCCCTCTCTCCCCCTTCTCACCCATCCCTCCGTTCTCCCCTTCTTCCTCCACATCCTCTTCCACAGCCTCTCTCGTTGGCTCTCTCCTCTATTCCTCCCTCTCTCAATCTCCCCTTGATGTGTCCTTGACAATGCGGCAAGCTGTTCTAGCTTTCCTTCCTCACCCCTCACCCCCCCTCCCCCACACACACGCACACACACACACACACACACACACACCTTTTCTTTCACTCCCTCTTTCTCTTTCTCATTGTTTCACCTCCTCGTCCTTTCTGTCTTTTCAATGTGGGCATAATGGTCTCATACTGCAGTGCTGGGGTATCCATATTTGTGTGTGTCGGTGTCGGTGTGTGTGTGTGTGTGTTGTGTGTGTGTGTGTGTGAGAGAGAGAGAGAGAGAGAGAGAGAGAGAGACAGAGACAGAGATCTGTATTGGTTTAACCCCCACTCTCTGTATATTACATTACAGATGATGCTCAGCATCAACTGCATCATAATGTATAAGTGTGTGGTACGTCCACCACTGTGTGTGTCATACATACATCTATTTGTGTACTACTGTTGCAAAATATGCATTTATTTTAGCCCGGGTATTTCTCCACTGTATATATTTCCCATCTATCTATCTGATCTGCCAATTCATGTTCCTCCTCTGTGATATTGTAATCATAATAAGCAGAGGCAGCAGTCTTTGTTGTACTGTCAAATGCCTCAGATCTGGATCAGAAAATATCTCGAGCTGTGAGTTTGGAATGATCAATCACAAGTTTGAGCAGTCAGATTATGGTGTAATGACATTAGATGAAGGACGTGCACGAGGTCTTGCTAAAGTTGCCCAAGCAACAGCCCATTTGCCCTCTTTGGAGTAGCCCATAATTGCTAAAGTTAGACCAAATTAAATCACCATATCATCACAAAGTTTATTACTTTTTTGTACTGTAGGTTCAGATCCCAGTGTAGAATTATTTCTGACTCAAACAACGTCAAATCAAACAATTCCAATAACTCAGAGCATTCAGTCCAAATGTAAAAATTTATTGAAAGAAAATGGTTGTAATCAGTTCCAAAATTCAAAACAAATTTTGGCATTTCACCTTTCCAACAAATATTGTCACTGCAATCAAAAAAACATTTGCTCCCCGCTTACCACACACACTGGGAGCCACACACCTGTATCAAAGGTGCAATCTAACAACAACCCTGTGGCTCTACCTATCCACAGCCCTACACAATGCAATGAACTCATAACATGTAAATTAACACAATAAACGTCATGCAACATTTTTTATATTATGCTATGACCTAAATCAATCTCAACTAGCAAGCTAACTGGCTAACATTTAGGTAGCAGCATAGATACCTCATTGGCAGCTGCTGTAATGTCACCGCTGTACGTCTGCATGGTCGCCATATTGCGAAGTTAGTAGTTATCAATACTGAGAGATTCAGACTGCACTGTAACTCCTCTTAATTCTGAACTGATTTTCTTGACATTTGGTTTGTTATAAACGTGAGAAATTTAAAATGATGCTTGTTACTTCAATGAATGAATACAGTCAATTCAGCCGGACAGGTCTAATCAGCTCAATGCCAAAAAATGAACCTTCTGAAAAGCCACAACATCTACTGGGACATGCAGGCTGCAATCTATGAAGAGGCAACAGCAATGCAAATTATTTACAATTTTAGCTTTTGTTTCTCAGAAAATGTAAATTTGTAGCTCTATTATATTTGGTTGCTTGTTTTTATGAAATGTAAACAATAATTCAACACAGGTGAATTATTTTCCCTACACATTTTTTCTTGGCAGTTTCTTATTAGTAATTTGTAGCCTACAATGTGTTGATACTTTATGCACCAGCTCATACAGTTAGTATACATGAATTCATTGTTTTTATTTTGGCCAAAGTGATTACCAGTGGTTGGTCTGTTTAATATTTTGTCTGTTTGTACATTCAAAAATGCTGCACATTCCTGCAGCATTTGGTGACCGCGCAAATTGATTGTCATCCAACATGCTCACAGGAATTTATATACCTTGAAACTCACATCAGTACTGAGCTAGGTAAATTAGCTTTTAGCTTTTTGCAGCAAGTAAGTGGGACAAATAAGAAGAGGTATTGAAATTGGTAGGAAAAGGTAAGTGTCAGTGATGTGGATGATGTGGTTGTTTTTATCTACAGAGGGAGTGGATCCTCTTCTATGAAGTCTGCCATGTTGAACCTCCACGTTTCTACAGTAGCCCAGAACGGACAAACCAAACACTGAATCCAGATAGGGCCTTTCGCATTTTTTGACTAACAAATTAAGTGACTAATCGCTTGAGACGATTAACCAGTCTGTTTGCAAAACAAATCAGTTCTTTGTTAATGTAAACTGAATTTCTTTGGGTTTTAAATATAAACTTAAATTTGCCAGAAAATCAACCAGTATAAAGAGACATTCTTTCACCATTTTATGACACAAAATATGGCTATTTATTGTTTGTATCTGACCATTTTCTACAGTGCTCAGTCAATTTCTCTGAATACACTAACCCTGATGATTGTTGTGAAGCATCCCATGGTCTCTCATTGGTTTTACCATTAATATTATCCCTTTTTTCAGGTTATAGCAACAGCCCCTTTAAAACGTATGTGCAGTTCGGATCACTGGATCTCTACAAGGTGGGAAGTATCTTCATCTTTGGTTGGTTTGTCACACATGATGTTCCCAGGTGTAATTTGTGAAAGTCAGCACAGGGCGAAAGAAGCCCGTCCAAGAGTGTGGAGAGCGGCGTTTGTGTGTGTTGTTTGCCAACTGTGCTTTGTAGGGACAACTGCAGATACATGACTCTTTCAGAGTGTCTGTGTACTGAGTTTGTTGGGACCCACTGCACTGATTCCTGACCAGCTCACAGTATCAAATTAGCAACACTCAACACAGACTTACTGTAACTCAACACCCACCAACTCTCTCACTTTTTCTCCATCTCTTTCTCTCTCTCTCTCTCTCTCTTACACACACACTCACACACACACACACACACACACACACACACACACACACACACATCTCATAGACTTTGCTTACACTTGAACACACACCCTTCTTCCTCCATTCACTGCTCTCTGTTCCTCGCCAGTCATCTTTCTCTCTCTTGCTGACTTTCCCAGCCAACGTCCCTCTGCTGTTGTGTTGCTAGGTTACAAACTAGTTTAAGGAGTGGGCGTAGTGTGGTACCACACCCCAGAACATACAAGCGCGCACACACATACACACACACACACACATGAAAGACACCAAAACCCAAACTCTACCCTCAGTAGTAATTACAAATCTTTGATTGGCATAATTCTAAGTTTTAAGTGTGTGTGTGTGTGTGTGTGTGTGTGTGTGTGTGTGTGTGTGTGTGTGTGTGTGTGTGTGTGTGTGTGTGTGTGTGTGTGTGTGTGTGTGTGTGTGTGTGTGTGTGTATGTGTGTGTGTGTGTGTGTTTAAGTTTGCAAGTGAAATTCAATTAGATTTATGGCATCAGTGCAGAAACAATCAGTCGATCAATCAGTTCACAAATAATGAGGCATTTGCTGTTTTTCCATTATAGATGTATCTATTGATTATTTTTCACAATTAATTGTCTATAAATTGGTGATAGAATGTCTCTTTATATTGGTCATATTATCTGGCTAATTTAAATTAAATAAATATTTTAAAAAAATAAAACCTAACTCTAATTTGCAGACGGATCGGTTAATTGACTAATCGTTTCAGCTCTAGTTATTAATCTTTATTTGTCATTAAAATGACTAAATGATTTAAAGCTGAAACAATTAGTTAGTTAATTGATTAGTCAAAAAATGCAAAAGGTCCTATCTAGAGCCAGTGTTTGCTTTGTCAGTTCTGGGCTACTGTAGAAACATGGCGGCCTCCATAGAAGAGGACCCGCTCCCTCTGTAGATATAAACAACTCATTATAAGGTAACCAAAACACAATGATTCCTAAATTCAGGTGATTATACACTACTGAAAACATACCTATGGATATTATATTCCATTTCTGACAATAGATCCTCCTAAATGTTACACACTGGACCTTTAAATAATAGTCATATTCTTCAACGATGAGGATAATCGTTCAGTTCTATGACACTGTGTCTGCAATAATTACAGATGTGCTATTAGAGATTCCAATCAATCTTTGTACACTTTTACTCCATTCATCCATCTATTGATTCACTCTATCCGCTTTCCATCATTCATCCACCATAATCCCGTCATCATGTTCCCTGTTCTCCAACTCCACCAACAACTGCCTTTTGTTACAGCCAGGATTACACTAAAATGTTTCTGTTTGATGGAAGTGCTTTCACTTTCCCCTGCATCATTCTCTCTGTGACATAAAAATTGTTGCATTTTTTTAATTAAGTCTACTTCACTCAATAATGCATTGCAGTGAAATAAAATGCGAGTTGTTTTGGTGAGTTATTGAGATTAAAACATTTAGTCAGCGTGTTAGTGTTAATTTGAGGTGGTTATAGAATGACTGGTGACCATGCGTAATCTGTTTCATTTGAGCCAAACTATGATGTAGAAATCAGACAGATGATCAGGAAATAGCTCGCAGGAACAGCACTCATGCAGTGGTGTTTGTGTGCGACTCCACCCAAGAGTATGATATCATGGATCCTTCCACTCCTTCATTCATCTCATTTAAGAGTACCAGTTCATCTCCCTGCTAACCACATCTACATGTAAAGCTAGAAAAATGTCTATTGTTTATTTTGTCACAAATCACACTCTTTAAAGGAACATTTTCATCATTTGGACGACACTTTGCGCAGGAAATCTGCATCTACACAAACAATACATTGAGGAGAGTGAACGTGACACAGAATGGGTCATTCCGAACAGGAGAAGGACTCCGACAGTGGGGGACTCAGTGAGGGGCTGGGGGAAAAAAAAAAGGGCACCAGCACAGAGAAAGTTGTGATGCATTTATGGTGAAACAGCTCAGTCAGGATTAGCACCCTAGAGAGCACTTACCACAGGGGAATCTAAGAAGGCACTTTTTGAGTGTTTTTTCGAACATGGGGTCGACCCCCTGAGTCCACGAGTGGATAAGACAAAACCAGCTTGTACCTAAAAGAGGGGCTTCTTCTGTCGCATGGATGCTGTTTGGGTATGTAAAGTCTGACAGACAAGAAAACAGTACTACTACACACTAATGCAACTACAGTTGAAAAGTGTTTTCTATTTACCTTTTTACATTTTACACATTGATATTTTATATTTCGCTAAAATTTGGTTGTAATCATTAAAAATAAGAGTAAGTACTGGGACTGTGTATTGGCAAGAATCTGACCATAGGATATGTATCACGATTCAATAGTGGTTCAATATATTGCATTATATTGCTATACTCTAAACAAGCCGATGTATTGCCATTTTTAGCCCTTAGTTTACCTTTACAACACTGCTATGTAGTGGTTGGGGTTTAAACACAAAAATAAATACAAAATGTCGCAATATAATATATTCAGATATTTTCTTTTATCCCTAGTAGATACATTTTATATGTATATGAGTATATGATTCAAAATGTAATAACAGCCTTTTCATGTGGTAATTTTATCTAAACTATATAAACTATTCATTAAATTTACAGAAAATGTGCTATTGCGATATATATTGTTACCTGGATATGAAATGACATCACATCTCTATATCCATTCATCCTCAACAAATCCATCCACCCAGCAATCCAGCATCTATTCACCCATTCATGTATCCACTCATCCACCCAACCATTCCTTCATCCATTTATAGAACTATGTTTTCACCCATTCATTCATGTGCTCGTCCATTATTCATCCATCCATCCACTTTTTCACCAATTCAACCATTCGTCCTTCCATGACTGCTCACCATCAGTAGTGCTGGACTGTAGTCTCTGGCAGAGCCCCTCTGTGTCTCCGTAGCTGTCTTGGATCTTCTGCAGGGCGTCGGTCCCTCGGAGCTCCATCAGCTCCCTGAGCTCATTCACTGTGACCCCGAAGTCTCCCCCTGCTTGGCTGCCATCTGCCCTTCCTCCTCCTCCGCCCCCACCTCGAGTCCCTTTGGGATAAAACTCCACCGCGCTATTTGCCATTTCACCCATTGTGGCTGTTGTTGACATGTCAGTAAGGTTTCTTTTTTCTGTTTTGGTCCTCCGTTCTCTCCGTAGTCTGTCCTCAACTCAGTTCCCCTTCCGCTTGGTTGGTGGAGGGTTGCTCATGTGCTCAACAATCAGATTCTCGGTTCTGTCTTGATTTCGTACTTAAAAATGTGCGTTTATATTGACACACCTAAACCCTTTTTAATTTTATTAAAGGGAAATGAAGGGGTGTTGGTTGTTAATTTTATTCCTCCTCACTTTCTTGGCCTAGCCTCCCACTGCTCCTTTAATTCTCCATAACAGGAGGAGGAGGAGGAGGGTGAGGGGGATCAAGGACAGCGAGCAGGGCCACTTCAGAAGCGTGATGTCTGAATGAATCCAGCTTTCTTGTACTGCGTCTCCGCTGCAACTCTGCTCTTTCCTCGTTTCTGTCCCCCTCCCTCCAGGGTCACGGCCAGTCCATGGACGGGCAGGCTGAAGGACTTACAGACAGTGATGAAGGGATGATGGATGGATGGAGAGAGGGGCGAGCAGGGCAAAGGCGGCTGATAAATCAGAGACAGGAAGTAGATCCAGTTCAGAGGTAGCTACTGCTGCACCACCAGGACCTAAGAGAGAGCAAGGAAGAGATAAAACATTACCACTCCGTTCTATTGATCTAACTCAACGATCATTACATCAAATCATTTCTGAGGAAGAGTTGAGGCGTGCTGAGACTGGATGCAGTTGTGAAACTTTTTAATGCAGTGGCTAAAAATCTACCATTAATACATACATACAGTTTTATTCTAAATGAATATACAAGAATGACTTAAAGCATAGCTCAGCTTAACTTTATAACACTGCTATATAGCAGTTGGGGGTTCAAACACAACAATCAATATAGCGTTTTTGAGAATTGATACAATATCACAAAATAAAACATCGCAATACAATATTTTCTTACACCCAGAAACGCATTTGATTATGTACAAACTTCAGATCATTATTGGTATAATCATATCCTCGTAAACCACTGCCATTTGTTTCACTTCATGCAATATTTAAATCTGCATTTATTGATTTTTTGGCCACTTGGGGGAAAAACAACAACAAAAAAAAATGCAATATTTAAACATTAACATGGCTAACATGTTAGCAAACGGTGGCTTATTTACACATTTAGCAGCAACATTAGCATTAATTTGGAGTTCATTTGGAGCAGTTTTTTGGCCATGTGACAAAAGACCAATATTCAGTCCACCTGCTTTTTGGTGCTAGGTAGGTCGACTTGTTTGCACTTTTTGAGCTGTTGCTACAGCGCTTGCACAAATTAAAGATGCTAAAATGCTCCGAAGAGGTCAGAGGAGCTGCAGAGTTGGTGATAACTCTCTGCTGGTGACTACAAGGGACACCTCTCACATTATACTTCATTTTCTTCCTTTGTTAAAATAACAGAACAAAACAAAACACTGATTATAGCAGCTTTAAATATTCTCAAAAAAGTCAACAGGCTTGAAATATTAAATATATCTTCTAGAATGTTGCTTATGCTTTCATCCACTAATAATTAAGCACAATGGTTTCTGTAAGAAAAAAACACATGACAAAGCTATGACATTTGTCCTCTGATATTGACAGTACTGGACAGAGTGTATTAGCAAGAATCTGACAATTACAGAGGTTATATTCAGTTTACTGTGATATATTGCAATACTGTAAGAAATATATATTAGTAGGAGCAGTAAATTGGTGGCTCTAGTGCAGTGGTTCTCTACTTTTCCTTTTTGTCAAGTATTCCAAAATTGATAGACATCTAGCTGTGGACCTATATTTGATAAGATGTAGTCTCAGAGTTATTCCTGTCTAGACTGTAGATTAGCAGATTAACAGTGAGTGTGAAACCTATGAACAGAACAGTGATTCCTATACATTCTCTCAATGGGCTAACTTTTAGTCAATGAAATAACATTGAAATTAAAATATTTCCCATTTTTCTGGGGGTGCCCTGGAACACTCTCAAGGACCCCAAGTTAAGAACCACTGCTCCAGTGATTATGGACAGTGTGAGTCAAAACAAAGTAAAGTGCGTGTATGGTAATGAAGTAACATGTGTTTGGACAGCAATGGAGCTCAATGGCACATTTCATTGCTGTTTTTTTGGTCTTTTCACAGGAGTTGTTGATATTAAGAAAAATAATCACCTGCCTCTTCTTTTAGGTCACCCCCTAATGTTACATTAAACCAGCTACTACCAGTGCATCCACTTTGACACAAACCCCGCCATTCCTGGATGTGTCCACATACATGCCTTCCAGGTGCGATTAATTCATGTTCAATTTGCTCCGTCTGATAAAAAAGCTTGTGAGACCTGAAAGAGGGAAATTTCCTGAAGTGAGCTGCTCTTGTTGAATCCACTGAAAAACAATTTCCTAATCACTGAATTAACATTTCAACCCATCTCTGGAACTGATTTAATTAAAATAAATCTGACACCGATAGCGCTCAGTACCGCCGAGCAGAACAGCAACTTGCTTCCCTTCAGCGACGCTGACTGCGGAGAGGCTCCATCCCACATGAGCAATTAGCGCTGCCTGTAACTAAATATTCTCAGCATCACACATGACACAACATATTCTGATTTCCCTATCAGGCTATTTTACATAAGGACGAGCATAAAAAAACAGAAGTGAAGCTCATCATTAATTCCTTCTCTCCTCCCTCCTCTCCACTCTTCGCTCTCCCTCAGCTCCCTCTGCCTCTTGCATCTTCTCCCTCCCTCCCCTCCTCTCTCCCCTGCCATGCCTCAATCCTGACTGAGAATGTTAGTTTATGACTGAGTCACCCTGCTCTGCCTTTGAAGCTTCCTCCCGCTCTCCATCTTTTCTTATTTGCCTGCTCTCCCATCTATCTATCTGTCTATTTGGCTTTACTATCTGTTTTTTTCCTGGCACGCCTTGTCTTGTGGTGTCTCATCGCTTGTTATTATTTTACCTTTCCTCTCCTGACTCCCTCATTTTGTCGCTCTCCCTGTCTATCTGCTTCCTGCTACTGCAATCATTTATTTACTCAGCCAGTCGCGCATTTTCTTCCTAGCCCGGTCTCTTACTCACTGATTCTGTCTGATTTTATAACGCTCCAGAAAGAAAAACCTCTTCTGTTCAGCCTCCCAACTACTGCAACTAACTGTGAGCGCATCTTTCTGTTTTAGCCGGAGCTTTGATGTGTACAGTGTACATGTGTACGTGTGTGCCCGCATTACATAAATTGAATTTATTAAAAGAACACTTTGTTACTCAATTTGTTACGCCTTCCTAACTCTTACATGCACACAGATACAGTCCACTTTACAGCTCACCAATGTACAGTAAACGAACAAAGCCACTGACGCCCAGAGACATTACTTATATGATCTGTGCCACGACACACACACGCACACGTCGTACACCACAGCGCTTTCAAAATGAAAGTGAGAGAGGGGTGGGGTGGTGGGGGCTGTCCTGGCTGAAAATGTGTTTGAACATGAAAAGAGTCAGATAAAAGGTCACCACAATCCTCAGCGGCCTGCCCATTCATCCTGCACACTGGCCCTGCTTCTCCAGCAGCCCTCGGAGGTTCGAAGCAATTTGATTGTTTTTTTTGTTTTGATTTTTATTTCAAGAGAAAGTGGTCACTCTTTTCCCCTCGGGTGTTTCTTCTTTATCGCGGCAGCAAGAAGGTTGAGATGTGTACAGAACGGGGAAGACACAGGAGAGAAGGTCCTCACGGGATTTGATTCTAGGCCAGCAGGGCCTTGTATGCTTTGTGTGCGCGTGTGTGTGTGTGTGTGTATGTGTGTGTGTGTGTGTGTGTGGTGGATGGGGCAACCCAGGCTACATACACTTACACTGGAGCACACGTGACTAAACACGTATGTGTGCACTCATGTCTATGCTTCCTGTGCTCACAATTGTCATCCCAGGTGACTGCGTGTCAGTATTTGGTGTCCCCCACAGGACAGTCTGCGGTCCACCTACACCTGCAGTCCTACTTTCCGACAGGCATCTGAAGGGTCACCTCTGGCGGGGCCCTTGTATCTGGGCTGCTGCCTGCCGTCGCTGGCTCGGCGCCAGTCACACACTTCTGTAATTCCCAGTGGGAATAGCACACTTAGAATTCGACAGCCAGTGGCTGGAGCCATTAAAGGTGGGCCGCCTACAGGGCACTGCTATCTGCATTACTGTACAGCCCATTAAAGCAACTGTGTGATGCTGATGATGACGAGGATGATGATGGTGATAGTTTCACAAGTGGGGTGGGGGGCGTTTGGACGAAATAAAGTCCCAGTTAAGACTGATTGATGATGTGTATCCATCTCTCTTACATCTCACACACATGCACGCACACACGCTCTCACACTCACGGTGTCCCATGTCTTGTCCCTCCCACATGAGCCACAATCTACCTCCACCCAAAGCTACACACACTCAATTCTTGCGATTGCCAGCAACACGGAGCACTTCTGTGCAGGAATGTCCCCATGCAACAGTGTGTTTCCCACACAAAACGACCTTTCCTGGTCACCTTCAGACGTGAGCGCTTGAGCTTCATCACTCTGCTCATCCTCATCCTCATCCTCAACACACACCAGAGGAGGTCCTGATTAATGCTGAGAAACTACACTGCGCGGCTACAGAAAATGCAAGGGGAAAGAGTGTAACCCGTGGTGCGCCACTTCCCTATGTCCCTCCGCAAGGTTACCGGCCCGGTCACCGCCGGCCCGTTCTGCCCAACTCGCGCCCACCCTGCGCCGGGCGACTTGTGAAGGTCCCTTCGGCCAGAGATCCAGATCAAACCGACACCCCCGCAGCTCAGCGCTGCAGGTGCGACGCGTCGTAACCGAGACAAACAACGCAACTGACAATAGCCTATAGCCCGGTGCACAGCAGCCCGGGAAAACCAAGAGGCAAGCGACAGCCTTCAACTGACACAGGACACGGAGGGAGGGATGGATGGATGGACGGATGGATCATGGATGGATATCGTTACCTCTGCGCACGCACGCACGCGCAAGCACATTCGCGCGTGCACGCGCGCACACACATACTCCCTCATAATGTCATAGCGCTGTTTGCCAGGGTATTATGGTATGCCCTACTGTATGGGCTATTATTACAGCTGTGTCAGGCCTGTGAGGAGACACATCACATCAGGCCCCGCTCCACATTCTGCAAGTCCGGTAAAAAGCCTCTACCTGCTGTTAATGATCACAGCGCGAGCAACACATCTTCCCTAATAAAAACGGCGCTCGGGGTAAATAACAGTCACGCACGCGAGCACGCACGGACTCACCGACTCACCGTGCAGGCCGAGCTCAAGGACATCAGCATCAGCGCGCGGGCGGGGAGGCAGAATCCCCGTTAATCTGCGTGTGCGTGGAGCGGAGACTGTCCCAAACCGGATGAGAGGACACTGGGGGAGGGGGGACCGGGGCTGCGGCAGCAGCCTGGAGTCCGAAGGAGTGGAGGGATGAAAGACGACGACGGTGCTGATGAATATTCCGCTCCGCGCGGTCACCTGACGGTTGGTCGGCGGAGTTCTGCGGCGGTTGAGGAGAGAGAGAGAGAGAGAGAGAGAGAGAGAGAGAGAGAGAGAGAGAGAGAGGATGCGCCGGGTTTAAACACCTCCGTTGTGGGGAGGGGGGGCAGTCCGTGAGCCTAGACGAGGACTAGCTGCTGCCGGTGGTGGGAGCTGCTAATTTGACCGGATTCGGTGAACTGTTAAGGGCACTGGGAGAAAAAGAAAAGAAAAAAAGAAAAGAAAAGCCGCGGTGAGAGGAGAAGCTCATGCGACATCTTTGGAGGAGGAGGAGGAGGAGGAGGGGTTGAGCCGCTGACAGAGCCCGCGCGCACAGGAGCTCGGTCGCAGCATCCGCGAGAAGAACCGAGGAAGGGGGGGGTGGGGTGGGGGGGTGTTGGGGGATCACTCTATACGTCACCCCCCACCAACTCGGCGGCGTGATGACGACACCAGACACACCGCAGTGTGCGCTTCTCGTGTCCGGTATCATCAGTTGGTACTAGCTCTAACACTCCATTTGCAAGAATCCACCGGGCCTGAGTGAAAACAACCAATCAGAGCCGAGAGACACTGAAAGACACTTTAGGTTGGAGGATTGAAGATTGCTGAGTCTCATTCCCAGTGTCTGTATTTGAGGACCTGAGAATGAGACTCAACAATTAACCATCTTCAAAGTGTCTCTGGATTCTTGTAAATGCCATCAGGAGCACCAGGAGGAACCAGAGGAACCTGATTGTTTCACAGATTATCTGCCTCATGTTCTACTGTCAGGATGTAGTGAAAGTTTCAGCAAATATGACAAAAAGTGATTAAAGTTACCTACTGCAGCTTTAACTTAACTTTTTCTTTTTTTGGAGGTTAGATCAACAAAGGAAGAAACAGGTTTGAACATTTGATAATTGATTGACTATGGAGACATCACACATATGGGGTCCATGGTTTAATCTATTATGGAGCCACTGACATGAAAACGTTTGGGAACCCCTGCCATTGCCTACAGTTTAATTTAAGGAGTTAACATGGCCACAGTGAGTCAAACCAAAATATTCTATAAAGTCTATGAACCTGTGTAACATTACAGCACATTCATGAACTTTCTTTAGTCTAAAAAAACTTAACACAACAAAATAGAGAAAACAGAATACCCAGACTTAAATTGCAATTGTGCAATTCATTGTACATTTAAATCATTAGTGATGGGAAATCCCAGCTCCTTTTACTGATCCAGATCACTTGGCTCAGCTCAGCAATAAGAGTCGGCTCTTCATTTAGTCTCATTTCTTTTATATTTCAGCCAAATTGAACAATATGTTGATCTATGATAGTATGTGTGGACATCACACTTCTCACTTAAATTATTAAATGTAATTAAGCTAAACCTCATAATTTCCAGAATAACATCATTTTACATTATGCTTGATGTAAAAACATCAAACACTATTACACACATGTTGAATGTTTCATTTATATTGAATGTTTTGTATGTTGGCGACGGTGCAAAACATACAAAGGTCTCACCATGCTTTTCATTATCTTGATCATGTTTGTATTATGTTTGTCTGTTGTCTGAGTTGTTTTTTATCTGGCTTGTCTTTTGCAAACTAAATTTACCTATGGGTACAAATAAAGTAACCTTAAACTTAGCTTGAGTCTTAATGTATTTAACAAATAGGTTATAGCCTCATCCTATTATTCTGCCTTTTAATAATTTATCATTTAAAAAAAGAAAAAAATAAATCTTTAAATTGTTTTCCATCTCCAAACACATTACAACATACAATACAATACATCTTTATGTCAAATGGAACAAATATTCTAACAAACTTGTTTGACACTTGGTACTAACAGTTTGTGCATATATAAATTCCCTGACAAAGTTATATTGGTCAAATGAATTACACTTTAAAGCACACTTTTCATTAAAGTCCATCCTGGTCCAGTATGTAACTTGTACAGTGTGATGTAGAAACTTGAAGCCACCAGTGCCCATCCACTGAGAATGGACTTTACAGTGAAGTAGGAGACATCTTGTGTCCAGCAGGGAAACTTTAGAAATCAACAACATTTGTATATTCAGAGATTCTGGAGGTTTTAATGAGGTAGAAGGAGGAGATGACTTTTAAGGATTTTATGTGGAAATTATACTTTTTTGTGTAAAAAACACAACATTATTGTTCAAGCATACTATTGTATGGAATCTTTGACTTTTTAATTACTTTGGCAATTAAGGAGACAGATGCAAAATTCGAAGATGGAGGAGTTAAGAGGAGATTAAAAAGGTACATTATATGCAGATGGAGACAGTTTCATACAGGAGGCAAAATATGGAAAGTAAAGGTGCAAAGTATTTGTGACTGTAGCCAGGCAAAATTATGAAGGGAAGGAAACCTGTAATCTCACTTTTTGAGTGTGGAAACAAGAGCAGTAAAGTGTTAATCTAAAAAGTAACTAATAACTACATCTGTCAAAAACTTCTATCTGGGGTAAATAATGTTAAATACCACAACATAATAATCTCAGACCACTGTCCAGTTTCTGTCTCACTAAAGCTGCTTGAGTTGAAGAGCAATTTTAGATCCTGGAGGCTTGATCCACAATTGCTAACAAGAAAACGATTCTGTGAATATTTGGAGACTCAGATAGAATTATTTTTTGAAACAAATGATAAATTTCATATCAGTCCTAAAAAAAAACCGCAACAATCAAAAGCAGACAGATCTAGAGGAGCAGATACGAAAATTAGATGCAGAAAATGCCGCCCAGCCTTCCGCAGAGAAATACAATAAAATCTCAGCCCTCAAATATCAGCTCAATACACTTCTCTCTGAAAAACTTTTACTAAACAAACTTTTTTTGAATTCGGGGATAAGCCTCATAAACTGTTGGCAAGACAACTGCGGAAAAGGGGAAGTGATAGGGCTATTCATAAGATATCTATTATGTATTTATTTTTTGAAAGTACTTTATTTTTCTGTGTGAATTTTGTGTGATTTGAATAATTGTATATTTGTATATTTGTATTTGTATATGTGTATATTTTATGCACCAACTGCACCAGGTCACATTCCTCGTAGGTGTAAAAACCTACTTGGCAATAAACAAAATTCTGATTCTGATTCTGATTCTGATTCTGATAAGATCAGGCCCTGTCACTTCGCACAACGATATTAATAATGCATTTCGCCAATATTATGAAGTTTTATACAGCTCCCAGGCACATGCACCTGAGACTATGAAACAGTTCCTAAATGCATGTCAATTACCAACATTGTCTGAGAATGATCAGAATTCCCTAGGAATGGAAATTACAGAGGGAGATATAAGGAAAACAATCAATTCCCTGAAGAATGGCAAAAGCCCGGGACCAGACGGGATATGTAACGAGTTTTATAAGAAATTTGGCAATATAATATCTTCATTTCTTCTCAGGATGTATAAGAAGTCCTTGGAGGATGACAAATTACCATCAACACTGAATGAGGCTACAATAACACTTGTTCCGAAGAAGGGGAAGGACTTAGAGCAGGTGGGTTCATATAGACCAGTGTCGCTATTAAATTCTGATTTGAAAATCTTGGCTAAAACTCTGGCTTCAAGACTCAGTCCTCTTGTAACCAAACTGATACATCCGGATTAGACCAGGTTTATCCCAGACAGACACTTATTTCATAATGTTAGACGCCTACTTAATATTCTGTATTCCCCGAGGCATCCAGAGGAAGATCTGTTCATTCTGAGTTTAGATGCAGAAAAGGCTTTTTGATTGTGTAGAATTCCCATATTTATATGCTGTATTAGAAAAATTGGGATTTGGAACAAGATTTAAATTACTTTACTCCAATCCTAGTGCCAGAGTTCTCACTAAACAGACAATGTCAGGGACAATTAACCTATATAGAGGCACTAGACAGGGGGGCCCTCTTAGCCCCTTGTTGTTTGCACTAGCACTAGAACCCTTAGCGATGACTATCCACACAAATAAGGAGATTCATGGTTATGACAAAGATTACACCTCAAATAAAATATCGCTATATGTGGACGACATTTTGACCTTTATCACAGAGCCACAAACTTCAATGCCTGTATTATTGGAGACAATTGATTTATTTAGCTTGTTCTCCGGATACAAAGTGAACTGGACAAAAAGTGAGCTGATGCCAGAGCGATGTAGTGACCCAGGTGCACTAGAACGAACCCCATTCAGATTGGCATGGGAAAAATTCACATACTTGGGGTTAGAAATTACAAAGAAATATAATAAATTATTTGAGGCTAATTATGTGGCTGTATTAAATAAGTTTAAAAACAAACTAGAGTTCTGCAAAACCCTCCCTATTTCCTTGATAGGTAGAGTAAATGCAATTAAAATGGTCTGTCTCCCTCAGTTACTGTACCTCTTTCAAAACTTACCCATCTTCCTTAGTAAAACCTACTTTAAAAAACTAGACTCTATGATTCTTTCATTTCTCTGGAATTACAAAATGCATAGGATCAGAAAGGGGCATCTGTGCAAAAGTAAAACAAATGGTGGGTTGGCCCTCCCAGATTTTACGAGGTACTATTAGGCAGCAAATATTCGATGCATCTCCTACTGGCTGGATGAGACAGATGTGCTCGCCAGCTGGCTGGACATGGAGCGAGAGGATTGTATCCCCTATTCGATCGGTGCTATTGTGATGTCTCCCATCCACCTTAAAAAATCATATTATAGCCATAACCCAATTATACACTGCACTATTCAGATCTGGAGTCAAATATCAAAACAACTCAAACTTAGGAAGCTATCCTTTACACTCCCAATATCAGCAAATCCATCATTCACCCCTTCTATTATAGATGGAGACTTCAATAGATGGAAAGAACTTGGACTGCACAGTGTGGGAAATCTGTACGTTAGTGGTTTGTTTGGGTCATTTCAACAACTACAAGAGAAATATGGTCTGTCAAAAAGGGAATTTTTCAGATATCTCCAAGTCAGACACTTTGTTAGGACACACCAGAACCATTTTGAAAACGCCACCCCTGACAAGCTAGACAGGTGTCTCAGAGATTGCACAATGGAGAGGAATGCAATTTCAGCTATATACGATTCATTTCAAGTGCTAGACCAGGTGAACATGGAATACATAAAGGAAGGCTGGGAAGAAGAATTGGGTATGGGAATAGCGGAGGATATATGGAAGGAAAGCCTGAGATATATCAACACTTGCTCCCTGAATGCTAGACATTGCTTGATCCAGTTTAAAATTCTGCATAGGCTGCATTATTCAAGAGTAAAATTATATAGAATCTTCCCAGAAATATCGCCCATCTGTGAAAAATTTAACCAAGCGGAGGTAAACCTACTTCACAGTTACACACTATGCCCCAAA